ACAATGATTTAACAGTACCAGAGTATAGAAGAAGCCTTTTAGTATCCTGTGAGAAGCAATGACGACTTCCATAAATTAATTTTAGATTACTATATGCAATCTTTAATTTTCTTGTATCGTGCTCTCTAAATTCCAATTTTTGCAACTGTTACAAAAAGGCAAAACAGAGTTTTTTATATACAATTCTACGTTGCTTTTAATATTATCAATTTAATTGTCATTTGCAAATATCATCATTATTATCGGCATAAAACTGTAATGATGTTGTAAAGCTGGATATATAAATCGCAAACAAAAGCGGCCCTAGAACGCTACCCTGCGGCACTCCAAAGGCCTAGAGGTTGTTGCGTTAAGTATCACTTTTTGTATTTTGTCATTGAAAAAGGATGATGCGGATTTGCAAGATGTGTTACTAAATCCTTAATTTATCGTGTTAAAGGCTTTGCTAAGATCAAGTAAAACCAAGTTATCATCGTAAGCCTTAAAAATGTCATCTTATTACATCTGCAAGAGCGCTTCCTATCAACAGATCTCAAACCTGATTGTTCCTGGGAAAAAATACTGTAAATGTTGAGAAATGCTCTTATTCGCTTGTCTATTAATTTCTCTAGAATCTTAAAGAGTGTATGCAGAATACTAATAAGACGCAAATGATCAAACTCTGTAGGAAGTTCTGGGTTGGGCAAGTTGTTAGTGGAGCTAATAAACAAAACATTAATTGCATCTGCATATTAAAGACATTTATGTACAGTTTTTCTGTTTGCTTTTTATAATACTAAGCTTTTTAGTTCACGCCACTTCTTTCTAGAATTGGAATTTTGAAATTTTGTTTGCAAATAATTTTTTCTTAATAAGTTTACAGTAATTATAATTTACAGAGACTTGGATTGAAAATTTTTTAATGCGTTGTAAAAATCTTATAGTATTAGTTATTCAAGGGCTCTACTGAGAGTAACTACTTTGTTTGAAATTTTATTATAGAATGTATCTTTGTCAAATACATTTAGTACATAGTCATTGAAAAGTGTTATTTTCTAATCAGTACTATTTGCATAAAAAACATTGTGCCAAGCCATTCTCTGAAGGTCTTGTTCAAAATCCTGTTTATCACCTGTACATCAACCTAATCATTTGTTCAGTTGACTGGATATTCAAACCTAAAACACCAGTCTCAGTAACAACGTCCAACACTCGCGTAGGTTGTGTTATCAGCTGCTCCAATTTAAAATTTCCAAAGATTGCTTCTAGTAGTAACGATCTTGATGGTTTTCTGAACAAGACTGCACAAGATTTTATATTAAATCGTTGTTTTAGACGTAACTATCATTTCATAAGACTGCATATCCCTTTTGGGTTTTCATATGCATCTTTGCTTTTATATCTTGAATAAATGCAATCGTAACTGAAGGTTCAGGGACTCTTCAATTTAAATTTACAAAACCTTCTCCCACAAGGGTGTTAGATATTTGACTTGGTCTTTATACTAAATAAGATAACCAGATAAGATAAAATGAACATTAACATTAATTGCCAAAGTAACAAAACCGCTTTGAAACCAACAAAAACTTGTTTTTAGATGGGACTGCTGGCGAATCCTATCTTTAATGGAAACTGGCCCCAGGCAGCCATCGATAGGGTGGCGGAAAGGAGCAAACTCGAGGGCTACTACAGATCCAGACTGCCCGAATTCACCCAGGAAGAAATTGACTACATTAAGGGAACGTCCGATTACTTTGGTTTCAATCAGTAGGTTATTCACAATAACACATACCCAAACAACGATGTTTTTAAAATAATGAGGGAGGCGAACCTAGATAAAGCTCTGTGTTATGGGGAATTTACAATTTCATCACAGTATCTGCACTTGTAAGAGCCTATAGGCTTCTTTGGGAAAATAGTTTTAAAAGCTTTTAATTTGTCATTTTCAGAATCGAATATTCTGAAACTATTTTTGTTTGAGATTTTTATTTTTCACTTTCAAGTGTTATTGGCATAAGCACATAATTTTGAACTCTGGTATATTGTGACTGTAGCTATAGAGCGTTATCCAGGTTGGTCTCCTTGACCAGACTATTAGCTCTTTGCTGTGGCTCATTGCATCTGGTTTGGCTACGCCCACCAGATAGAAATGTATTGACGCTTACAAAATATGTGAATAGTTTTCTTCCACTCCTATTGGGCTTAGACGTCTCTTAAGCCGGCAATGGCGCGTCAATAGACATACCACCAAATCTTCTGTAGATTTGGCCGATGGGTCTGTCTTCGTCCTGGCACGTCTCTCCACTATTGCCAGGATTTTCTTCCCATCCATTCTCTAATGCTGATTTTTAATGGCGATTTTTGCAACCTTGACTAGCGTTTGCGGGCCACTTCGTCTGCTCTTTCGTTACCATCGGGACAATCCGTCGGTTATCTCAGCTTGAAACACTGTTGCTAACTTCTCAATTGCAATAAAAAAAAATTATTTTCGTCCTGGAGGATATTGTGAGCCATTTTTCCAATTTTATTCCGCAGATATTTGAGTAATGTAATGTTAACAAAGCGATACTTGGGTGCGGTGTTGTGCATAGGCCTAGAACTTCGTATGCCTTTACCTCCCTCATGTTGTGATTCAGTAGCACCTCCAGCGCTGCAGTGGGATTGTTTTCGTGTATCCAGTAACGCACACACCCGCTAGCATTTGCACTTCGCCTTGCCGTCTCCAAGATTCTTGTCATTGTCTTGCCCAACTGCTCCCTACACTATCATTGGTTTTGCTACTATTAATATATAATTTTTCAATTGGTTCCCTTTTATTTCCACACATCCTTCTGCACCTTTTTAGTGCAATTGTTGCCCCAACGGTGATTGTTTGAATGTGTGTTTTCCAAGTAAACTTAATATTTTCCTTCCTTGGTAAGGTGTAGTCTTATTGCATGTAGTACGAGCGTTTTTACGTCCCGGTAATTTTTAAAAGTAGCAGTGGGGAGAGAAATACACCTTCATGGTTGTAGAGTGCCTTTACCTGTTTCTAAGACTGTTTCGTATCGAATAACGCCATTGAAGCTCTAGTCTTTTATAGCGCTCTCGTAATAAAATTTCCTGCTTCTTGCTTAAGAGACGACACAGGAAGATACGGTGTGCATAACTTGACGTTTTTTCAGTTATAGTACGGAATTGGTCACGTTCGCTTACAACGTTACGAATGTCACCAAGTATCCGAGCTTCGACGCTGACAGGGGAGTGTTACGGACCGCCGATCCCAGCTGGCCTCAATCGAACATGACTTGGTTACGGTCAGTGCCCTGGGGATTCAGAAAAATGCTCAACTGGATCGACCAGAGCTACGGACATCCCGCTATTCTAGTAACCGAAAATGGTTGGGCCGACGACGGGACCAGTCGAGAGGACCCCCAGCGTATATCTTACATACAAGTACGTTTGACAGGAAAATGCTTATGGATGGCGTTTCTAAACAAATGCGGATTTCCATTGCCTGCATTTTGTGTGGATTATTGGTAGACCAAAAATGCTTATTCTTCCTATTAACTACACCTGCTGTTGTGAACAAAGCCTCGTCCGTAAATATTATTTTGAAATTGAAGTCTTTTGTTTTGTTTTTTGGAATTTGCATGAGATAACAGAGGGAAAATCATCAAACTTTTGTATTTACACTTTTTTTTTTCTATTTATCAAAATTAACTCTGTAGGTGCATCTCAAAGTATATATTGTTTGAGGAGGGAGGAGCTGAAGGAAGGGCGTGTCTCGGATGACCGATTCCAGAATTGGTGACATGTAAAGAACCGAGTCCCGGTTAAGATTGTTTGGTTGCTTACAGATTACTTTTAAATTTTAGTTAGTCTTACTCTTAATGCTGTTTCATGTATAGTGATCCCATTTGATATTTTTCGTCTAGTTTGTCCGATGTATTCTTTACCGCATATGCATGCTGTATACTCCTGGCTTTCGAACAAATGGTAAAGCTGATTTTGACGTTATTTTTCTTAAGAACTTTTGATTTTGCAGTTGTTTTTTAATAATTAACCTCTTTTTAGCAATTTTTGTCTAAATAGACTATTGAACTATCTAACAATCGGTGGAAATAGATTTTAGTTGTCAAAGGAGGAGTTTTAACCTTGTTGATTGGTTGGAACCAATTTTTGACAACATATCTAGGTTTAAAGGCAAATTTTTATGAATCTTGTACAATGTTGATGGTGCTATAGGCCTAATTTGCAACCCCTGTTTGTGCATTTTAATTACAAATTTAATTTGAATAATTATGAAAAAAAGATGAATCTGGAATATCATCATATTTTCAGCAGAGTAAATTTATGATTAAATTAGTAGTCTTTTGCATTCAAACCAACTGAAAATATATTTTTTTATGCCATTGCACAAGTTTTTCCTAAAATATAGTTAAGAAGAATGAAGGGGGCTGTCTATTTAAATTCTCGGTTTTACGATAAAAAATAAAAACAACAAACCTTTACTTTAAACTATTATTTTAAATTTATTTATTCAACAAATCATTAATCAGCATAACACGAGAATATTTTTTAAGGATTACTTGGGTGCACTTTTGGAAGCGATACATGATGATGGCGTCAACGTGATCGGATACTCCCAGTGGAGCATCTACGATAATTTCGAGTGGTTATCTGGGTACACGTGAGTATCGATCACTCTTCTCTTAAGTCTACTTTGAACACTTTTGTAACAATTACTTTTCATAGGGCCAAATTTGGATTGATGTACGTCGACTTCAGCAGTCCAAACAGAACGAGGATACCCAAATCATCATACTACTACTATCAGAAAATTATAAAAACCAAATATTTGGTTGATACGTGCAATTAAGATGAACTATTTCTGTTTAGCCTACAATTAAAATTCTTTTCCATGGCTGTCTCGTTTAATATTGAACATACCTGCTTAGAGATATAAACAAAACCAAGATAACATTAATATATACAAAATAAAATAAAAACAATTAACTATCCGCCTACATTGAACTGCTCTCTACATCCAAGAGCCTGATGTACTTAAATACGTCGTCAGCAATCCGCTGGGTTTCTTCGATGGAAGAGATTAAAGCTTGGTCAACCTGAAGCCCTATCTGGAACCTATTGTCATATGTTAAGACGCTGATTGTGAATCCTACAACCAAATATAACCCATCAAACTTCGATCTTTAATTTCCGAAAGGTACTAACGAGTTAGAAACTCATTTTCAAAACATTACAGGGTAGCAAGAAATTCTGTACTGAAAAATGTTTCATCCTTGGTAAATATTCGTAATCCAGATACTGAAAGATTCCATCTTTATTTAACTCAATCTGCGAAAATTGAAAAATCAACATTTTCTCCATATAATCGGTGTCGATGAAAAATTGAATCAACCCGCTAAACATATTTAGTTTAGGGAAAACAACAATCAGTAAACAATCACTTAAAACTTGAAAACTAATTGAAAAACTTACCGGTCTTTTTCCTGTTTGGCGCGTAAAACACTACATCCTTCAAGTCGGTTTGGAAGTAGCTGACACTGCCAGTTCCTGGAACATTAGTCAGCGCTGCGGTTACTCCGGGGAATGTAGCAACGAATCGCATCAATATGGCAGGACAGAGGCCTATTAGAAGTTCCAAAATCCAGAACCCTAACTAAAACTAGGTTAACTAATATCACCTCGATAAACTGAACGTCAAATGAAGTGACATTTTCGGAACCTCAGAATGTAACGGTTTATTCTGTGATTTGGGCCTCTATAAAGAGGGACACTAGGTCGTCATGCGAGCTATCTCCGAAGATGTTTATGGGGTGTGTATTGAGCAGAGAAGAAGAGGGGTAATCAGTCAGCAGTTGACTAGGAGCACTTCCCTTTAGAGGTACTTCATCAAGGGTTAATGGCTAATCTCGAGAATAAAGAAAAAACGAACTTAATGTCCCGAGATATTTAAATAAGGTCCCTTAGCTATAAAGCGCAGGGACGCAAAGAAGCCTAGATTAAAAATTAGATCGGTTACATTATAAACTTCAAAAAACGGCCACTCATTCTGCATATTCCATTTAGATTTACACTTATTTACCTCCAAATCAGGTCGACTTCTCATTATAACGGAATGTTCCTTCATTTCCAGAAGTGTCTCAATCAAAGATGATCTGGTGGTTGGGATTGTTTGAGGAGCGATGGTGAATCGGTTCTGGAGTTTGGCTGGACCGGGGTCCAACATGTTTCTCAAGGACAAGATGTGTGGAATTGCAACGTTCAGTTCATGGGGAATATCAAAACCTTTCTAAAACATAGTAGATAAATAGCCCAATTGGATAACCTTTAAAACAGTAGTCGAATTTACAAGACAGCAAATTTACTATCTGAAGATACTAGTTATAGTTTTCCATCGGTACATACCCTTTTAAAATAGTCGGTAAGGCTGCAGGAAGTGGCAGTACAGATCACATCGAAGAAGGTCACATTCGGCAGCCTATTTTTAATTTTCTTCACCATCGGTACCAGTTCCTGATAATCCTCGCAAGACCACACGGCATTCTTTTCGCCACACAGATCTGGCCCATATAAAGGGTTCTGATCACCATCTTTCACGACAAACGTATAAATATAGTACGGAAGCAACGCGCTGATTAAAAACAAGCAGTGCAGAGCGGATTTGGAAAATTCTACCTGTAAATAAAGCAATTAAAATTCTACAGAAAGTCCTAGATATTACATCAATTAGGGAGTTGAAAGACTAGGAGGAAGACATAGTGCAAAAGTGCAAAATAAACTGAGATTTGTATACAGTAATGCTAAGACAAAACACTCACACGATCTGGCAGATTACAAGTTTTGAAAGTCTAGAGAATTGCTTACCCAGGCACTGCCAGACGCCCAGAGGCGTACCATGAATTAAGTTTTTTAACTGGAATCCTGCAGACGTTTCGCCAAGGTCTCACTTGGCATCTTCAATGCTCGCGCTCCGAAAACACTTCGAACACTCCAGTGTTACAATTCCCCTTTTTTTCATTTTATGATTATATGTTTTCCTTTATTTCATATTTATAATTGCTGCAGTAACCATATCTCGAGTACTTACCAGTAAAGCTAGGTCGAATTTTTTTGGACTCGCGTTAAGATAACCGCTATATCGCTTGAGAGCGTCTTTCAAATACTGTTCGGCCGCTGTATCGCTGTAAACCTTCATAAAAAATGAGACCAAAGATGCTCCATCTCCGACGGCGTGGTTAAACCTAGCTATAGCCGGATAAACGTATTTTTCCTAAAAAGTAAATGAAAGTAAGATATAATAATGACAAAAATAATAACAGTTGCTGATAATAAGTCTCTCTTTATCCCTAGTCACCGTATCAAAGAAAGGAAAACCATGACTGAGAACGAGAAAGAATCGCACATCAGGTCAGAGACTGACACCAAGCGATCTGTACGACTATCTTGGGCAAGTATCAAAACGGAATTTTTGTGCAGACAGGCAGGAAAAATATCTTACTGGCATAACGTATAAGCCGGATATTCTAGCCAAATAACTGAATTTTCCTCCACAACATAAAGGATAAAGCCCGTAAAAATAACGAATGACAAATTAAAGATGTCGAAAAATAGCGTTTTATGCCTATTAAAAGATCAAATTAGTATGACTAAACCTGGAGAAAAAAGAAAGAGGGAACTAATCTTAAGATGACACAAATGTTGCTTCACTTAGGGCTACAAAATAATGCCTTCCACTTCAGCAATAAAGCAACAGTTGATATTCAAAAACTTCATATGAACATACACATACATACGAGGGTGGCGCTATGAGGTCTAATTTTAAATTATGGATTCACTATGTAGTATAAACGCAGATTTAAATAATCAAATATGGTGTTATTCATTATTATTATTCATTATTCAGAATTTTTACGAGTTATGGATTACCCATTCCCCCCCCCACCTTTTAAATTACAAAGCTACGTGTTCAGCTTACGTCAGCTTTTTTAATAAGCGGCCTGTCACTTAGCAAAATCTCCCACAGGGCTTTGCCGTTTCTCGGAAGCTGTTGGTTGCTAACTTTACTGAGTACGTCTCTCATGACAACTTGGTCGAACGGTTTGTCACCAGGAACCTTCATAAGTTTCACGCACTCGTGTAAAGAATAGTCGTTTTTAATCAGATACGGAAATCCCCAAAACCTGTGCATCGTGGCCTTTAGCTTCGGGTAGTCGTCCACATCAAAAACCTAAAGAACACGATTGCTATTTGATGCTGCACGTTTCCCTTGCTTACTTTTTGTTTCGTCCTCAGTCTCACAATTTTCTGCAGATCTACCTCTTCATCGCATTCGAGGAAGAACAGAGCGTTCACTATCGATTTCCAATTATCATCGTCGTACGTCCAGATCTGATCTGCACTCGAAAAGAATCCACCAAATTTGTGGCCATGTCTTGCGATGAGTATGATTCGAATCAGCAATTTGTAAATTGCTAGACACGGAAGCAAGGCAATTAGCAGAGGCAGCAAAGGCAATGTTGCAATGTAGAGGAAAGGATGTGGAACTTTGTATGGAACGCGGTTGTGATTTCGTTCTTGTACCAGAATATTCTGAAAATACAATCCGTTAAGAAACGCATTAACGAACATAAAAGAGCGTTTAAAAACAATGTCTATATTCTAATTATACTACACACTTAAACACAGAAAAACATATTTTGATATTTTACATACAGCCACAAAAAGTAGAAAATTAAATTTATTGGAAGCCAGGGATATTAACAAAATGTAGATTTAAATACCTACTCCTTTATTAATCTTAAATTCTTACAACAACATTAATTAATTAATTAATTAATTTTTAATAAAATTTGAACACAAATTAACATATCTAAATAACGCATATTGGAATGTAGTTTCTATATGTTGTTGTCAAAGTAGATATTTCCATTATGTTACATCGAATACGACGATCAAATATTTTCAAAAAAATCGCGTTCCCAACCAAAAAATATTAAAATTTTTATTTTAAAGAATCCTTGATGGTTATCAGAGAACCCGTGATCAGCTTACTAAAAATAATAAATTGAACCTAATAAAACTTGTTTCAGTTGGCAGTCTAAAAGAAACATTTTCGCTGCAGACGGGGTTTAATGTTAAAAGAAGACATGTATAAAAAAATTAATACGATATTTTTAGTTCTATTTTCGGCACATAATAAAACCAAAATAAACACCCATGTAGGTTAAGACAGTTATTATGATTGTACCATCCAAAACTATCTACCTAGCTAAGACTCTATTCTTACCTTAAGCGAGTGTAATTTCATCGTAGCTAAACCTCGTTAAAGGAATTCACTGTATTGAATACGGTAGTTTTTATTTATCACTCCGACACAAAACGGCGACTAAATAAACAAATCTAATCTAAACAGGCCTCCGGGCCACATTAGACGCTAGGCGAATCCCAAAGATAGACTCCGAAATCGTTAAAACGCTTGTTGATTCTGACGCCGAAAAAAATTTCACAATGTTCGACGGAACCTGCATCTTGAAAATGTATCCCATTATGTTCATTTGCATTTTTTAATATGTAAGCGAGGCTGTATAATTAGTTTATACTACTTTGGTTAATAGTTTGCCAAAACGCGGACCTAACATTTTGAACGCAGACGAAAATAATCGTACTTCCTGATTATTATTTAAAATGAAATGAAAATATATTAAAATTGGATTAAAATGATTGTTTCTTCGCTTTTCTAATTTAAAATGAAAACGACTTTCTTCTGACACAAATAAAAGACCCTTTCTTCTTTCGATTGATACTAACTGCTTTAAACTTAATCGCATTTTATAGTATAAAATTTCACACACAACGCAATTTTGATTGTCGTTTTTCTTCACATAGTCGACATTCTTCATTTAAAATATTTTAGCCTAATAAAAATATGTCAATGTCAAGTTTTTAATCTATAATAAAATTACATACACACACAGAGATAAAATACAATGTAATGATATTTCGCGATTTTTGTTTTTACTTTAGGCCGAGATAATGCAAGATTTTTGCCTACTACAGGTAACATGTACAGGGGCATTATATTGTTAAATTAGAGAACACAAATAATTACCCTTGGACCAATCATATAGCATGACGGTATTGCCTTGCGTATCAACTAGACTAGTGCAATGTTTTCTAAAAACTGATTTGTTCCCTCGACTAGCTTACTTAATTCTAGTTCTGGTTAAAAAGAAAAGAAAAAAAAGACTGGAATGAAGATCACTATAATAAAAAACAAACGCTATAAATCCGAATTAACAGAGGAGTTCATAGCATTATTTTTTTTTTAATTTATTGAACTGAGGTGACTTTTACGTGATAAAAATCTATTTTTTTTCTGTGTTTAAGTGTGTAGCTTAATTAAAATCTAGACTATTGTTTTTAAACGCTCTTTTATGTTCATTAATGCATTTCTTGAAGGATCTATCTGTTTGTCCAATATAAATTTTACGACATCATCCGCATTTCAACCTGAAGACACCTGATTTTTGAGATTTTCAACACTTCGTTTCATTGTTTTTTAAAAATTTTCCTATTGCGTTGTTAGTCCTGAAAGCTTTTTTTTAAACCACATTTTGACAAATGTTTTGAAACTTGTTCACTAAATTCTCCTATGTATGTAATTATTTTAACTTGTTCGGGTTTTGTATTAAGTTTCGGATAAATAGAATTTACTGTTTTCTGGATTTGGTTTTTATTTATAATTTTATCGATAATGGACGGATTGTAGCCGTTGTTTATGATATTAAGTTCTTTGTTGTACTTTTCTGTTCAGAGTGGCGTAGTAAGAAGTCTGTGTGTGTGTATTGTGTGTATAAGGGTGATTTAAGCTGTTATGTATGACTGTGTCCGTGTGTGATCTAATCTGTTTCCGAGTTAAAGAGGTTAACCCATTGGTGAAACAAGGAAGGTTTGATTATGGGAAATCCACTTAGTCCTTTGTTAGACGAGATTTTTATGGATACTTTGGAAAATATCATGCAAGAACATCCTCTAAGTAAAAGTTTTCTATGGTGGTATAGATACGTGGATGATGTCTTTGCTTGCTATGTTGGAACGGATAGACAATTGAATTCTTGTTTAAATTACATTTACTCATTACATAATCGTATAAAATTCACTATCGAGATTGAAGAGGATAACTCTATTAATTTTTTATAGTTAACTATTACGAAAACGAAAAAACAAATTAGATTTTTGTATTTTCCATAAACCTTCACACACGGACACAGTCATACATAACAGCTTAAATCACCCTTATACACAAAATGGCTGCATTTCACTCTTTTATACACAGACTTCTTAATACGGCACTCTCAACAGAAAATTACAACAAAGAACTTAATATCATTAAACAAATTGCTCTGAACATCGGCTACAATCAGTCCATTATCGATAAAATTATAAATAAAAACAAATCCATACAACAGTAAACTCTATTTATCCGAAACCGAATACAGAACGCAAACATTTTAAAATAATTACATACATAGGAGAATTCAGTGAAAAAGTTTCAAAACATTTGGCAAAATTTGGTTTCAAAATTAACAACACAATAGGAAAATTTAAAAAAAACAATAAAACGAAGTGTCAAATATATAGGTTTAAATGCGAAACGCATTAACGAACATAAAAGAGCGTTTGAAAACAATAGTCTAGATTCTTAACATGCTACGCACTTAAACACAGAAAAACACATTTTTGATGGCAATTTTCATATTTTGCATAGAGCCACAAAAAGCAGAAAATTAAATTTATAGGAAGCCATGGAGATTAACAAAATGAGACATTCAAATGTATTGCTTAACGATCGATTAGATTTAAATACCTCACCTTCATTGAACTTAAATTTTCACAACATTAATTCAGGTTTTATTGTCATTTCTCGGCATATATAGTACCAGGTAGTTTGTGAATATTATATATATTTATATAATTATATAATTATATAATTACATAATTATATATATAATTATATAATTATATAATTATATAATTATATAATTATATATATAATTATATAATTATATAATTATATAATTTCGTGAAAATCTGAACTTTTAGTTCTTATTTATTTTTTTAAAATTTAATTTACTTTATTTCCAACAACATTAATTACAACATAACATTTCCCAACAATAATATTGTACACTATGGACCTCACAGTCCGTGTGCGCACTTAACATGGAGCAGAAAATATTTTTGTAAATTCCTAAATCTTTACAAAACAATACAATACAATTAATGATTTTTAACTATAAGGAACGAGTTTTAAAGAGGATGTGACAATAACATTTTATCCAACGGTTTATTCTTAAATTCAGGGGATAACACATTAAATATTTCTTGGCGTTTATGTTAGTCTTGCATTTGGAATAGTGCAGTTATTATTTTGGGCGTGTTTCCTGATATTTGGTGTTGCTTTGCGCAAATATTTTTGATTTGTTTGGAAAACATTACCACCGATTTCTTGTCATTTGCAATATTTGAACATCATTAAATAAATTTATGCTAGAATATAACTTTTATTTGTACAGCAGACTTATCAACGTTCAGGGTTGAGTAATTTTTATCATACCTACTTTTTACATGTTTCATAGCCTCTTCGGCTTTTACAGAGTCCTGCGTACTAGAGTTCATCCGAAACACTTATTGAAATAAGATTATTCCTATTTTATCTTATCTTAAGCCTAACTTAATACATTTTTCAATTATTTTTGAGTTAGTGGTCAGAGCCATAGGTACATAATTGTTTGGTATTTTTCGCTAATGAGAATTAAATTTAACAGACGTAAAAGCCGGAATCTTGTTTTAGGCTATTGATCAGAATTATCATTTCAATTGGTCTGAGAAACATTGATTTTATCGACACAATGATCTTCTTCGCATTTCCCAAATTGAATTTATTAAACCTCGCGTTATTCATGGCTTTAGTCTTCTTTCCTTGCCTTTTATTATTTTTTTTAGTGGATAACTCAACGTTTTTGTATTGTTTCTACAAGAAAATCGACATCTTGTGGTTGAAACAGGTACTCCCAATTTTCGTTTCTTAGATATCTACTTGGCTTTAGTTCGTTTAATTTAGAATAGAATTTATAGTATAAGAATTTAGAAAGTTGAAGAATGAAAAAAAACTACATACATTTCTTCTTTAGTCACCCTTAAGAGAAAGGAAGAATCAATGCGGATTTTTGGATATATTTACCCGGAGTTTTTTTTTATTTTTTTTTTTGCTTGAAACAAAAAGTGTATCGGCAACCGTGTAACAAAGAAAGCGAATGATTTTTGTCAATTAATTTATTTTATTTATATATTTGCGATTTTTATACAACTTAAAGTCGTTTCTCGCATCCTGCTCGCCAACGCTTTCTGTTTCTCCAGTCCCCTTCTTGTAGATTTCTTTGGGTCAATGTGTTTCTTATACCGTCTCCCCATGTGGTTCTGGGACGTCCTCTTTTTCTTTTTTTTGGAGGAAACCAATTCAATATTTTTTTTGGCCATCTATTATCCGGCATTCGACATACGTGGCCGTTCCATTTTAAACTTTTGGCTTCGATAGTGTCAACAATGGTGGTGTCTATCTTCATTCTTTGTTTTATCTCATTGTTACTTATTTTGTCTAGCAGTGTTAGTCCACAACAGCGTCTCCAGTAGTCCATTTCCATTGCCACTAATCTTTTGCGTAAATAATCAGTCATTTCCCATACTTCGGCCCCATAGGTTGTAATACTTCCTTCTTCTTCTGTTATTAAATCTTCTTCTGTAAGTGAGCTATCTAAACTTATACTCTCGTCTTGACTCTCTCTTATAAATTCTGGGCGATTTTCGGTGAACAGTTGCTTATAATGGCATACCCACTCACTTGGCTGTATAAAGCTGATAGGGACTCTTTCTTTTCTGTCTGTTCTCAGTGATTTTAAAGTTCTCCATGCTTCACCGGATCTAATGTATCCTATTTGCTGATCGATTTGCATGCATCTGTTGTCCCATAAATCATTTTTCGCTTTTCGTACAGCTTTTTTAACCTCATAGAAGCAGCGAGAATAGTATCTTCTATCTTCTGTTCTATTTGTAGTCAGCCAGGTGTTATATGCTTGTTTCTTTTCTAATATCAATTGTTCAACGTCTTCGTCCACCATTCGGTGATCCTATGTGAGTTATTTGTTTGTTTTTCTCCCAAGGCCTCCATTGCTATTATAGGCATTTAAACTAAATGAATATGTTACATTACTGAGTTTTAAATTTAACCTGAGTGTATATTCCTCTTTTAGACCATCCAATTTATAATTAATAATTTATTTTGCTTGGTGATAAAACTTAATTTTCGAAACACACCTCGTAGACAGTTCTCTGGATATTTGGTTGTGAATTTCCATGGTAATACGTTTCTTAGCAACGGAATTTGTTAGTACGCGTTCATTGTCCAAGCGCTAATTTAGGCTTTTGCAAATGCAGAAAAATAGAACATTGTAAGTACAAAACATTTCTCTGAAATACAACTGTAAATCCCTAAAGAAGACAATTTCGTCGGTACATTATTTTCTAGTAAAGACAATGGAATCTTAATGAGTAATGTATTAGAAAAAGACAATTACCAATTGGGTTGCCTCAAGCAACAGCAAAAAGTGGAAATTTTGTGGTTTTTCATTAACTTGCGTTTATATTTTAGTCCGCCGGTTTTCAAGTCATTTTATCATATACATTGCTGACTATTTATCGTTTAAATTTAAGTTTTTCAAAACAAAAATTCTTGGCAGCATAATCTTAGGAAGCTCTTTTTAGTCCTCCATATTTGTCTTTCCCTGACATTTTTTGACACCATTTTCATTTTAATGTGTTCTTTAGTGTTTTGGGCTTTATAGCAGTTGAAATATGCATAAGCGTTTGAATATTTAGTGGAATCTTTGCTAAATTAAAAGAAAGGATAGCAGGAGACCAATGCTACCGCTATCCAGGAGGTTTGTATAGTGTATGACGATTGATTTCATTGTTTTTTTAAAGAAAATGTGCCAATACCAACTTTAAATAGAAAGTTTAAAAAACAAGAACTTACTTTTGCAAAGAGCCCAGCATAGTTTTTCAACCAACCAATGTTTCATTAGTTCGAAAGGAAATGCAAAAAATTCTTCAATTCTTCAATACAAAGTGTAAGAACGCCACTGGACTTTCAAGGGAAGCGATTTATTTTCGTCCATGTAGGAAGTAAAAAAGGATTTGTTGGTGGAGCAAGCTTGGTGTTTTCTTCCAGATCAAAATCTGCAGCTGGCGATATGTGTCATAGCATTTTATCAGAAAAGGATCCCTGTAAAAGTTCTTTTAGGAAAGAGATCACCGACTGGTTGGATATAAACAAAATTGACATAGTGAAAATAAATCCCAGTCGAAATAAATATGTGGTCATGAAGTACTTCGTAACCCTCCATGCCAGTGTAAATTCAATGCTATTATGTTAATACGGTCGCCTGCTAAACAGTGGGAATGAAGCTCTGCAAGTTACACCCAAGGTTTGGAAAAACTGTGCGGTACATACCAATGAAAATATTTTTAATGTAATAGAGCTGATTTTCCTGATTTCAGAAAGTGATACTGAAAGCGAACTTTGTGACTGAGCTTTAAATGAAAAAATTTAAAGACTCTCATTTAGAACGAATTAGTTTACACTTAACCAAAAGTAATTTTTTGTTGAAAATAAATTGAATTTTTGTTAACTAAAAATATCCAAAAACAATCTATCACAATTATGAATCTGCGACAAAACAACTTACCAGCCTTGAATAATAATAATAATAATTTTCGGGCTAAAAGAAATTTAAATTCATCAAAATATTTTTATGTTCTAGAATTATTACCCAATACTTTTCGTTTTTAGACTATTGTAAAATATAACTCTTGTGACTAGACAAACTTTACCTTTAAGCTAAACTTACGTTGTACAGAATATAATTGAATCACGAAATATAAGGAAACTAAAAATATCTAAAATAAACATTAACCTTAACCTAACCTTACCTATTAACCGCTGTCGTCATATGTCATAACATAACCTCGTGATCTTACCTTATCACCGAAGTACGTCCATTTGTTAGCTAATACAATTTATTATGTGACGTAACTGTCATCTTTTGTGATTTTCACTATAATTACTATGATATACATGGTTATACACGCCATAGTGCAGTGTTAAGAACAAAAAAAGCACCTTTATGTTATTGGATTCTACCATCAAAAAAGTGGCTAATGTTTTGCGATTAATTTGAGTTTTGCCAAATTAATCAATAGATCATATTTTATAACTCAATTAAAAACAACTTGCCGTGCCAAAAATGCATCCTAATCTAATAACAACTACACAATATTTATTTATAAAAAACGTTGGTTGAAATTTTAGATGGACGAAAATCGGTATAATCAAGGAAGTGTGTTTCATGGGTCGCGACATCGTACTGTTCTCGGCTGGTTGCTTCATACAGTTCATTGAAATTAATACAGGCCTAGAAAATCATCTCACCGTCAACAATCGTGGAGCGAACGGCGATGGTGTCACGTGCGTGCGCGGCCATCCGACTCTGCGTCTCTTCGCATACGCCGAAAGTTGCCAGACTCCTAATTTATACGTCACCAGCTACCCAGACTTTCAGGTGGTTGCCAAGTTTTCTGGTAAGTTTTATTTTTGCGGAAATATGAGCATTTAAAAAAAAATCTACTGTTAGCAACGCAACTTCTTTGGACAGTCTTCATTCCCTCTTGCAAGAGGGTTTAAATTTATAAGTAGTGTATATTATTATAAGGAAGAGGTTCATTCAAATTTATAATCTTCAGTAGGTCCTTTTTCTGAACAAGCAAGGTCAAGTTGACGTTATATACACTGACTTCCACAAAGCTGACTGAAAAAACGTCTCAAAAATTTTGTTTCCACGATTTCAGTGTTGAGGTCCTATATCTGGTTTACATTGAGGGCTCTAGATCAGATCCTTTTATTTCTGCGTCTAATGTGTCCCAAGGTTCTAACCTTGGACCACTTCTGTTCAATATATTCATAGACCATCTCATATTTTTGCACGGCACTGCATGACTCTACAGGCCAATATCAATATTGTCAGTCATTGGTGTACTAAACATAAATTGTTTCTTAACATCAGCACAAAAACTCCTATACTCTTTAATTACAGTATGGATGGTACCTTCCAGGATAGACTTGCTAGTGTGAACGGTTTCCAGTGCAATGATCACAATATTCACCAGTCTGTTTGGATCGAAATGCTATAGTTCAAGTCATAGTCGCTTCAACACAAAAAATACCTGCGTGTGTTCTTACCATTAACATGGAGTTCAAGAAATTCAAAAGGGCAAGCCAGATCGCTTGTTATTTAGCGAATGGTGAAAAGTTGATTTTAAGTGCAACTGTGAGTGACGCTCCACAACTGGGTGGTGTTAGTCATAAAACAAATTTTTAACATTAGGAGAGAAGCGGAACAGAACAATGGCGATTTTAAATATCCTATCAAATGCAGGGTTGTTTATTTATTATAATTATTTATTAAAAATGACTTTTGAAGAGAAATTTATTGAAATTGCGAAATGTTATCCGATTATATACGATTTAAGTCATAAAGACTAATACTAAATATAAAACGAAAAAACAAAACCTGCGAAGAAATAGGATTAGAACTGGGAGCCGAAAATTGTAAGTGTTGTAGCATATATTAAAAAAAAATCTGATTTGGGTAAAAGAAATGGTATTGACATACTTAACATCCTTTGGATATTACTGTACGTAAAATATTAGTTATGCATAGTTATTTCATAGCCAGAGACAGATTTTGAAAGACTCTTGTTCTGGCAGTTCCAATTCTTCAAAATACCTATCATCACCTCTACTGTAAAATAGAAAAAACGGGTTTTCTGATAAATATTCCAAATTAATCTATATCAAAATTAGTTTTAACGTAATCTACTCTAGCTAGGGAAACTTTTTGGTTTGAACTATGTTTTTCTATCTTGTCAAATTAAGGTTGGGGGAAGGGTCCAATATTGATTTAGAAAAAGTTGAACAACTTTTTTTTAGAGTATTTATAGGAGCTTCGACTGGCACGTCAATAGCACGATATTAATTCTTTGCAAGTCGGTAGGGAGCGCTTCATATCAAAAACAGCTATTTTTATCATTTCCTCGAAAATTTCAAATGTAATGGTATGAATATTTTTTGCCAGGATGAAAGAGCGTAAAAAATACATTCCAAAATTAAAAAAAACTCTAGTAGTCCTGGTACTATTGCTATGCTACGGTTGGAAAACATGTTTCATAAACATATTATTATTTATATCTCAAAGGGGAACAAAGATATTGCCAGACCGTTTCCACTACTTGCTTTCGTCCTAGGTAAAAATATTTATACCATCATATTTAAAATTTTCTAGAAAAAATCATAAAACTAGCTGTTTTTGAATGAAGCGCCTCCTGCCGACTCGTAAAAGAATCCTGAACGCGACATGCCAGTGGCAGCTCCTATATATTTTTGGTGGTTATGCCCCCTAGCGGCAATTTTGGTTGTTGGACTAACGGGTCCTGAGATATGGCGGGCGTCTTTATTAATGGTACCTTCACTATATTCCGCAGTTATATCAAAGAACATTCACATTGCTATCGTGGAATGCTGGAACTTTGTTATGGTTGTTGGTTTTTTCTCTATTGGACGGTACCAAAATGTCGATTATAAGCAGCACCAATCGCCGCCAGGAAAGATTTTTGCGTAGAGATTAAAATGTAAAAAAAAATATTATATTAGAGTTAAAAGGTGACTGGGAGACGTTGACGTTATGAAATTATCCACAGTGGATCCATAACAAACATAACCTAAACCGAGTAAATGGAACGTCATTTCCATACTTACCAAACATTGTTCTTAAACCCGAAGGGATTTTAGCGCATTTCTCAATTCTCATATTCCACTAATCTACAATAGAGGATTAAAAAATTAAAGAAAAAATAATTGTGACAAAAGTAAGAGAAGTAGGACTAACTTTGAGGCATCTAAAGATAGACCTCATTGTCCTCTAATAAATGTTTTCACATTCTTAGGAGAATGTCGATATAATAAAATAAAATCAAAGTTGAATGAACCAAAATAATCAAGAACGATTTTTGTGTGAGGGATTTTCGTTATAGCAAAAAGAATTCTAATTCATTCTTCACATTATAATGTAGTTTCAAGATATTTTATGGGTATAATGCGTATAATTTATGGGTATCAATGTTCTTCGTAATACGTAACCAAAAATCGTTTATATTTATTTGTTCAGGTGGACCGAAAGAGGGTTACAAGTGCCTGGCGTTTTCCGAAACGTCTCTGCTCTTCTCTTTAGGAGAAATGCCCCATTATACCGTAACGGCGTGGAACTGGAGAAGTTTCGAAAAATTCGCTGAAAGCAATAACGAATTGCTTTATGAAAATCAAATAATAAGGTAATGAAACAAACAAAACTGGATAAAACAAAATACTGGATAAAAATCTTGAATGGGACAATTTATTTCTTTTATTTTACTGTGCTATACTATGCTATGGGATTCTAATATGTGGAGATGGACATGGATGTAGACGAAAACTAATGTTTTTACATTTTATATACTGGATTTTAATGGCTTAGACCGAAAAATCGATTTTTATGTGTATATTTTTAGCTCATCGAGAAGAACATAAAGTTACCATTCGGCATACTTGATATTTTGCTAGAATCGTTTTGGAAAAAATAGACATTTTTGACTTTTGACAGTACCACCGTAAGATTGATGGAAAATGAGTGAACAAAATCTGATTTTGGTTATAAACACTCTTATGAAATCATATATTTTTTTTATGTTATGTCCAATAATTTTTTCATAAAACTTACAAAGAAAAAAGCAAATGCAAGGCATTCCTTTTCGAAAAAAAAATTAGAGAAATAATTTAGTATATATTTTGTAAACAATTACACTTTAAATAATAAAAACACGACGAATTTTCGTTTGCACAGCCTTAAATAAAATGCATATCTGCCATTTCTGTATTAATGTAATTCACCATTATTCAATTAAAACTCTTATTATTGAACAATTAAATTATTAGAGAATAAATTTTCGATAACACGAGTAACACAAATAAAGTCAAGCTAATGTCAAGAAAAAGAAGTGACAGCAGTCAACTAGATTGCAATACTATGTCATTGCATAAATTTTTTAATTAAACATCATTAAGAAGAATGGTTAATGATTAATTCAATCCCCTTCATTGGCTAAAAAAAAGGAAAAATAAAGAGAATTATTGTGCTTGTTTTCGTTTCTAAGGTTAAGATAAAAACATTATTTTTCGGCCATATTTGTACAGCTATATCTCCTTAGTGGTTGGTTTTTGATCATTTTTATTACAAGTTTTTTGCATGCGTTTTTAAACACCTTGTCTATATATTTTCTATTTAACCCATTTTGTCCACCCATTTTTTGTCACATCCAGGAAATATTTTACGTTTTCGATCCTCTTAAATATGATTCTGAAATGCATTGTAATATGTACAAACAAAACAATGGATAAGCTGGAACAAAGTTTAAATATAAATGATAGAAGAACAAGCAATTACATGAATAGAATTTTTAACTATCGCTACAAATATTTATTCTTACAATTTAGGATGACGAACTTACCATAAATATTTTTGGGAACAGACGGTTATACGACAAAATACAGTTATATACAGGGTGTTAAAATAATACTTATACATAATGGTTGCAAAGGTACATTACAATCAATAGCCTTTCAAAAAAAAAAAAAAAAACAGAAGAGGGTGAAAAAAACAATTTAAAAAACTTTTTTCAAATCTTCTGGATTTCTCAGCCTCTGTTGTTGTTGAATGGAACATGCTGACGTTTTGCCAGTCGTCCTGTTGACTTCTTCACAGTTCATATGAAACTGACACTGACAACCGACGCAGGAAGAATATTTGCAAATAGTATTACAGTAGCCTATGGAAGTTTCTTTGCAAAAAAAAGTTTGATTTTTGATTGTCTTCAATAAGCTTAAATATTTTATTGAATTTTGTTTCGAATCAGGAGTAAGTAACCACAAAATATTTTGTTCTGGCCTCAGAGAATAAAAAAATCTTGGAATTGTGACATATGTTAGACAAAAGGACATGATCCGCATTTTAACCTATACACATCTGGACGCTTCGTTTTATTGTTTTTTAAAAATTTTCCTAATGTGTTGTTGGTTCTGAAAGCCATTTTTGAACCACATTTTGGTAAATGTTTTGAAACTTTTTCGCCAGGTTCTCCTATGTATGTAATTGTTTTAAATTGTTCTTGTTCTGTATTAAGTTTCGTATAAATCCACACAACAGTCCAGACAACAGTAAACTCTATTTATCCGAAACCTAATACGGAACACGAACAATTTAAAACAATTAAATACATTGGAGAACCCACTGAAAAAGTTTCAAAACATTTGTCAGAATGTGGTTTAAAAATAGCTTTCAGAACTAACAACACAATAGGAAAATTACTAAAAAACAATAAAACGAAGTGTAAAAAATCTTGAAAATCAGGTGTGCCTACAGGTTGAAATGCGGATCATGTCCTAAAATGTATATTGGACAAACAGGTAGATCCTTCAAGAAACGCATTAACCAACATAAAAGAGCGTTTAAAAACAATAGTCTAGATTCTAATTATGCTACACACTTAAACACAGAAAAACACATTTTTGACGACAATTTTGATATTTTACAAAAGTAGATGGAGATTAACAAAATGAAACATTCAATTTTAATGGATGGATTTAAATACCTCTCCTGTGTTGAACATAAATTCTCACAACAACATTAATTAAGGTTTTATGGTCATTTTTCGGTATATATAGTAGCAGGTACTTTGTAAATATTACATTTGATAAAGACACGGTGTTGTCGAAACAATTGTCATGTCAAAATATGAACTTTTAGTTCTTATTTATTTTGATAAATGGATTTTCATCAAGTAAAAGCCCACCTCAGTTCAATTATTAATTTTAGTGTGGTGTGGTGTGTGGAAATGAATCGAACCTGTTCTGATCGTCTGGATTTCCTTAGGTGCAGCTCCGGTAGACCAATGTACTTGGCCCAGTTGGGCATAGGCTCTAACAAGTTGTTTATTTGGGACGTGTTCACCGTTTGCAAAAGTTCGATATTCACCAAACACGAAGTGAAACTCGGCCATCTGAAACCGGCCCCCTTTGAGGATATAATGTGGACCATGGAGGGTGGGAACGCGTGTTACGTTATCGACAGGACAGGTGCCATTTACACCGTAAGCAGTACTTGGTACTTGTGATCCCAACCATTACTGATATTCACCAATCGCAGATCGATAGAGACTTTTTTTTGGAATTGGTGATTGATTTCTCGACGATGGGTCCTGTTCCAACATCCCTATGCTGGTTCAACCATGGAATAACGGTATCGGGACCAAACAATCAAATTCGGGTGATTATATTGCATCTATGCATTTTATTAATAATAAAATGGTATTTTATTAACACACTTCCAAAATTATATCTAGATTCCAGAATATTTTACAAGTTTGTTGACTTTAAAAACGTATAAACTTACGAAAGTTCCTGATCACTATCAATATTATAAACAACTCCGAAATTAGACCATATGTGATAGAATTTAACAGGTGTTCTGCGACAATGTGTATTCCGAACCACTCTGCGTTGAGTTAGATGTACCACAAGGTAGCATCTTGGGTCCCTTGTTGTGTGCAATTTATGCGTTTAGCTTTGTAAGGACTTTAAAATATTGAAATGACGCTGTTTCTTCGTAACAGGTTCAATTTTGTTTATTTGCTACATTTTTTGTTTTTTTTTAAATTGCTTTGCTGGATGTGTGCGTTTTGTGAGGCCTTTGTTGGCCCTACAATTGGTACCATCTAATATTTTGTAATGTAATATTTGGCACAACATTTATTATTATTATTAACTAAAGGATGACTTGCATTTAAATATACCACATTTTGTTGGGAGCCTTTTTTTATGTGTTTGTTAGAATAAGTGCTAGTGGAAAAACCTTTAGAATCAGTATATGAGCCGTTTATTTTGAATGTCAATTTAAAAATATACGTATTGGATATTAATAGTGTACAACTGGTATTTATCTATTTTAGTTCAAACCAAATAACATGTCAAGAACACATTGGCAACATTTATGTAAGAACAATTAGCAAAATAAAACTCGTCGTTTCCGTTTCTTCTAGTTGCCAATCTTACCGTCTCAATTCTTCTTCTTTTTCTTAACTTGTGACAGTATACTTTACCCTAAATGCAACTGGTACAAGGTATTGGGAGCACCACAAAATGAAGGGATAATTTTTGTGGACTGTGCAATTTTGTTGATACTAAATTTTTTTTCTCATTTGATTTATAATAAAATTATTTTAAAAATTTTTGATATATGATTTTGAGATAAAAAAAAGGGTTGACGGCGTTCATGGATAATATTTAAAATCCTAATACTACAATATCTAGTATTAGCTCCCGAGTTCGCCAAAAACGTCAACTTTTGAACTTCTTCAGAGATTTAACTCGCAACATTAGATAATAGATAAGTAAGCGTATCGTTAATTATATCCTCTTGCTTTAATTTTTCGTTTAATTTTATCACTTATTACTTTTAGCACTACAAGAAGACAGGAGCGAACTGGAATTGCGACTGGAGTTTCACAACCCAGAGCAGAATGCGGAATTTGATATGCAACAAAGGTGAGAAAATGGTGGCCGTCAGTGAGATGAACGAAATCGTCACTTTGTCGACTACAGAAGATGAGACCACGTTTGTTACGAAGCAGAATTCCAATTTCGACGACATTTGTTTGATTTATCCCTGCGGACAGTTCGCAGTGGCACTGTGTAATGGAAATAATTTAAACGTGTATAACATCAAGCGGGGAGACCTGGTAAATATGTGTTATACGCATTTGTAACTTAGTTTATTATGTTCCGAACAGGGGTGATTATTAAGTGTTGAAAAAGATTAATTTCGGATGGTAATTCATTTTTTATGCACCTGTATATAAAGTACATAAACATAAGTTGGTCAAGGGCCTAAATTTATTTCGAAACGGTTCAATTAATGTTTCAGGGTATACTTCAACCAAAAATATAGTGCTTTTACAACCGACCCCGTGATTAACTTTGCCTACTGTTTATTACTCAAAATCCGCAACCCTTTATACAACACCCTGCCGAGCAGACTCTTAGCAAGTTGTGATTTGTAATAATCAGCACACATAACGTTTCTGGCAACCAGGTTGACATCATTACCAATAGTACTACTTTCATTAATAGTTCACAGAAAAACTACACCCACATACCTTTATGCATTATCATAAAACTCCCTTGTTTCCAGAGCTGTAAAGAAAATGAATCCGAAAGTAACCCCACACTTGCCACTGTTGCCCTTCCTTAATTTGAGAACAATACTAACACATGAAAAGTTCTTGAGAAATGTTATGTTATTATAACCAGATTTACCACATATTAGATCCATCAAAGACTAAAAGAACGTCAAAGATCATTTATCCTACGACAAATAAAGTCATCAATAGTTCCAGAAGAATGTATAAAAATCTGTTCTCTGTGCCCCGAACCGGCGGCACATTTTTGAGGCCGGATAATATTCGAACAGTTCAAGCTGCGGCGTTGAAAATTTTCCACGTTCAAATATTATTCGATCCGCATCGGCTTGAAAACGATTAAGGCTATCCGTCATCGGCGGCCATTTTGTTGGGTATTTGTTGCTATTCCTCGGGAAATCGCTGTGAAACATAGTAATTACCCTAGAGTTTACATTTTTTGGTAGAGATTGGGTATGCCAAAATTAATTTTAAGAAATTTTCTTTTTTTTTTTCCGGGACTGAAAAAACTCGAGAACCGACGAAGAAATTCTAGAACCAGAAGGTGTGAGCGATTTGGGCAAAAAACTAAAAATTGACATTTTTTGGGGTAAACTCTTCTTGGAGTGAAATATTACCCCGCAAAACAACCAACGCAATCGTATGAGCCAATTGAGACTAAAAAATGCGTATATTACTGCAATACATATTGCACAAGGTCGCGATATATTTGACCAAACCCTTCAAGTCAAGCTAGCAAATAGCCTGGATATGTCGAATCAGATTAAATAGACACGTTAAAGTAGTAGGAAAATTTTAAAGCTTTACGAACTTTCAGATATCCGTAACAGTTTTGGATATAACCGTTTCGGCGATGGCGGAAAATCCAGAGTTGCCTTGCGTCGCACTGGGAAGTCAGCACGGAATTCTGCAAATTATGTCGTTTTATAACGAAACGAAACCAACCGCCTTGGCTAAATTCGATTTAACAGATTGCCCGCTCCATACCGTTAAATATTTCGAAACAGGCAACTTGCTGGTGGCGGGAAATCTAGATCTCGGAGAGTTTTACGTCATTAAGGTATAGGTTTGAGGTATCGCGCGATGTTGTCACTTGATAACACCGTTTCAGGGGCACCCGGGCTCAAAGATCAACGTCCTTCTCAGCGTAAACGCAAAGTTACAAGTAATAGATCACTTTTTGGTCGCTTCGAGCGATGTTATGCGCTTTTTCGTTTTGCCCGTGACATCCGACACCCGTTATGCTGGAAATCAAATTATACGTTATTGTATAGTCAACTCGGAGATTGTAAACGTCAAAACGTTCGAATGCGATGACGGCGTCTATTACAGAGGACTTATCGGCTTCAAAGGGCCGGATAGAGATAAATTGTTCTACGCTTTGCCGTTCGATTCGAGACTTATTCATTTGATGCTTACCAAGAGGGGCGTAAGTAATTCCGTTTGCGCTGCCATCTGTCAATGAGAAGAGAAACCTTTGGTTAATTTGATCTGTAATTTCGGTTGTGCTACAGCTAATAACTGATCTAGATATATCACTTAAACCGCTTCGATTTATGTCTAATATATTATACTTTACCTTGTTTTTACAAGAACTCTGCAATATTTAGTTTGTAGAAATAAATAAATTCGAATTTATGATCTCTGCATCTGTGCCGCCATCTGTGGAGTAGTGGCGAAACGTCGGTGTTTGGTTAGTTCTCTACCCATGTGAGTTAAACGAACATCATATATGCTTAAAAATAATCTATTTGAGAGCGATGTTTCGTGATAACTGTTTAGATTATTATATGAATTGAGACAACACTGGCAATCCACATTGATCCAAAACTAAATAAGAGAGACAAATTTTGACGGGCCAGGTGCACGAGCATCATACAAGTGGGAAATATGTAGCTTAGGTTGATCTGAAATTATATTAATAGAAAGTCATTTATGTCAATAGAAATTTTGTAGGCGGCGACGGCATAAATAGTAAGAGATCAGCAGATTAGTGTGTTTTTTGGTTTAGAATTACTGCTAATTTCATCAGTATGCTGGATATATTGGATTTATTGTTCGTTCCCTGACACTGGAGCACATGAACCAGTAGACAACGTTTCCAAAACACACCAATTGAAAAATAACGCTATTCATTACAGCCTTTCATTTAGAGTAATTCTGATTCATAGTGACTGCATTAAAGATGGCGGAAATGAGTAATAAATTGGGTTAAGATAAGATAGAGAGATGTTAGACCCTTAATAAACTATTCAACGGCATAAAGAAATTCATACCGCGGCACTCATACTATTTCCGGAATTATTTTTTTGCGATTTTGTCAAAAGCTCCACCTGGTGGCAACGTAAACAATTAGAATCGCACCAGTTAGTACAGAAAAGTCCTTTTCAACGAGATTTTTAAAATGCGTTAACTCTTTAAAACCTTATTAAATAAGAAACGATTTTTTATCAACTTTAAGATAGCCCTCACTGTAACTATGGTTAATATTTGACATTTTCAACTCAAATCAAATCAATCAAATCAAACTTACTGACTTTCCTTTTGTTCAGGGCTTAACTAAAACAGGCTAGTATTCTACTCTGTACCTGCTTATATATTGTTTGTGGGGGCGGAGCTATAGGAGGGGCATGAACATTGTCTCGGACAACCGATTCCCATATTAGTCCATATTGGGCTTGAGGTCAAGAATCCCTCCAAAATTTTTTTAATCCTTTAAACGCTATATACCATTATATACATTATATTATATATTACATTATATACATTATATACATTATATACATTCAAAACATCACTGCACATCAAAAGTTCTTCGGAAATATAACGTGAAAATTAAAATTACCATTTGTCCAAAAATATCTCAATATCTTCGCGATTAAAGACAAAATTCCGTTCGAGATAATAGTGGTTAACAGCATTCCATACATAAGCCGTATAGAATACACAATCTTAACTATTCTCAAAGAACATCTTTTAGCTCCGCCCCCCACAGAGTAGTACAGAGTAGAACGCGATGCAGTCAAACTCTGAGGATGAATCCAGAAGATTTGTAAATAGTGTTATAGTAGCCAGCGGAAGTTTCTTTGAAAAATTAGTAAGGCTTAGAAATAATGTCACAGTATTTCGTCCTTGACAGTTTTTTAACATCGAGGACCATCCATTTCTTTAATATCGTAGCTCGTCGGCCTTATTGGGACGCACTTATGAAAATGCTGTTCTACAGTTTACAATTAACTATCAAAATAACATAGTTCAATCAAGCTTGGCAAAGTTGTTTCTTCTTCATTTTAACAAGCCGTTTTTAGGATCCCGTTGTGAGGGTAATCGAGAAAATTCCAAGCGGACATCAGCTAAAAGAATTCGCCATCGATTTGACGAAACATTTCGCCATGAGCTGGAGTTGCTGCGGCGTCGTCATAATTAGAACCAACGATTTTAAAGTACCTGTCGGGAATACGCTGACCCACCATCGATACTTGCACGGAGTAAAGAAAGCCAGAATCGATCCTTCGGGAACCTTAGTCATGTCGCTTGGCAATGAAGGAGTGCTTTGCGTCACGCGGTTGGCAGATAGGGAACCGGATCACTTATTGAATAGACGCAACATGGAGTTAAAGGAGTCTACGAAGTACGCCTTGATGTTTAAAAGTCCTACCATTTGTTGCGAGCCGGAAGAAATGTATCGCGGGAATACCTGGAAAGATGTACAAAGACTACGACAAATAGCAAGAGAAGAAGAGCTGTGCAAACTGGAGAAAAACGCGGTCTGGAACGAATTTAAAGACATTCAAAGGCAACTCCGAGAGTTGGTGACGCGTAACCTGGAAGGACCGGAGAACGAGAAGATAGATCTAACAGAGTTCTATTTGGACACGGCGTTGTACAACGTAATGCAGCAGAACAACAAGGAGGATTGCAAGAGAACGGAAACTTACCTCAGATGTTTGATCGTCGCGCAAGATAAAGTCTCCGATTATTTGATCAAAAATTATTGGGACAAAATGGGCGTCATTTGGCAGCAAATACACGGATTCTTCAGCGCTACGAAGGCAACGAAATATTGTCTGTTGCCCGAGGACGAGAAGAAGCTGAAGCGGCTGGCGTGGGCCGAAGAACAAAGAAAAGTGGAGCAATTTTTAACCAGTCAAGATTCGTTTGAGCCGTGGGTTATGGTGTCTAGGGAGTTAGTATATGCCTTCCGTAGTATGGTAAAAGTTTATCGAACGTGTTACATTTTGACATGACAGACACAATTCAAGCCGTAGTAGTCTAGTCCGTCTCAATCTTCATCGTGCTGGCCTGTGCCTATTTTTGAGGTACTTAAATTCCATTTTACAAACAATTCTTGGAGGGTGGCACGGTTTATATTTATATTGGTCTCATTTTCTTCTAGCTTCTTTTTCAATATATTTTGCTTCTTATAAGGTCCTGATCACTATTGTCTATACGGTAAGTTTTGGAAATCACTACGTTTGTTTCTTTTCTTCAATTCTCCGCTATCAATAATATCCCTTATCGTTTTTCTAAGTAGACAGGTTTCTTTTAAAGTTTCCTGTTTAATAAGTCCTCTACCGATTAAAGTTTAAGAATAAACATTCAAAGTTTTATTGGAGAGAGTCCGTCGAAAGTCAACACGACGAAGATTGAGACTATAATATATCCGAAATCATCAAATTGGTCACATGTTTGGTAATGTAAAAACTTCGCTCAACATCTACGAAATAGACGTGTTTACAGAAATAGTCAATTTTACGAAAAAAAAAACATATAATGTGCTTAACGCTTTAAGTTCACTGCAGCGCAATGCAGAGTCATTGGTCATGACGTCAGCGCTTGTATCGAGACCGAAAAACGGCCAAACCTTTTTGCATCTGTAATATTAGTTTGCGGTCTTTTACGAAATATTTTTTATTATTTTTCCAGTAGCAAATCTTTACGGACATTTTCTTTCTATACAAATCAGTAATTTATGATGTTTTTAGTTTATATTAATGATTTCTCTGACCATATGGATCCTGTGTAGGTGACTCCATTTAAAACATTAAACTCCGATATAGAAACTCATATAATGGCGACACAGTGTGCAAAAGAAAATATCCATCAGAAGTTTACAGCCAAACCCCTAAAATTAAATGAAGATATAACTCACCCGTTAAATATAAATATTTCTAAAGGAAAATCTGCCAAGATATTGGGATTAGGCTCTCTTGGAAAGACCATATTGCTTATTTAGGTGTTAACTTTTCGTTACAATGGTGTTCATATGATGTGGGGAAACTCCACAGAATGCATACAATTTTTCGGTATGCGGTTGGAATTATATCCAACTCGAGATATAGAGACCATTGCCAACCTCTGTTTCCGGAAGGTTAATTACACCAAAAGCGTAAAAAATTCCTTTGACCTAAGCTTATATAACCTAATTCCAAAACAGGTCACAAGTTTGCCATTTATAGTACATTATGCAACAAGTGCGGTAAACGGTATTTGACTCACGAGTTTATTTGACACGAGCGAAGCGAGCGAAAATACTTAGTAAAAGGCAGTCTTTTTTATAAGATAAAACTGCGTTTCCTGTTTTTATTTAGAACGCTTATTGGAATTAAAGGATAGGGAATGTATATTTCGGGATTTGTAATAAAAAACTATAAGCTACCAACAAATATGACTTCATTGTTTCTCAAAATATTCACCCTGATGATCAATACACTTTTGCATTAGATACAACTAATCATCCAAGCACTTTTCCCACATCGATTCGGGCACCTTCAAAACATTTTTTTAACGCATCATTGGCTTCTTCTGGTGTCAAACATCGTTGCCCACGTAATGTATTCTTACTGCATGAGAATAAAAAGAAATTATTAGATGCTAAATCAGGACTATATGGTGGATGGCTCATCAAATCAACATTTTTAATGCTCAAAAAGTTCTTTGTTTGCACTGATCGGTGAGAGGGGCTGGTTTTTCTATGTTCTTCGAAGATTTCCAGCAAACAAATGGCTGTGTACCACTTAGAATTGACTGTTTTACCTTTCTGAAAGACCCACACGCGAACAAATTCTTTTCGCGGCCAAATGTTCATGCAAAATTGTATGTATGCAGTTCCTACTAATTCCCGAAGATCACCAAAGCCTAACTGAGTAAACCTAACCTCAAAATGTCAAACTTCCCTACAAATATATTAGTCGCCAGATGGCAGGACTAAGTTAAGAAATTTCCAAAATATAAAAGGCAGCCCTCCTATATAAATTTGTTTGAAGCTATTTGACCAATTCAGTGAATATACTGTTGTTTTTTTTTAATAGAAATGCCTACATTGTGGAACTGTTGTTTGATACGTTGCCAATCTTACTGTGGCGATCATAGTCGTCCTCCCTTTTTTTTCGAATTTAAGCCAAAAAAATATCCATAACACCACACACACTCCCCCACCACCAACCACACAATTCATGGGTCTTGACGGTTGAAGTTCACGAACATCTTGGACTCCAATTGCATACCACTTTTAGGAAACTCCTAGAGATCCTCGGTAGACGCCCCGCTCTACCGAAAGAAGATTATTCCGGAATGGCGGCACTCAGGAGGCTGAAAGAATTGGAAGATCTCGATTCTCAAAAATCGTTGGAAACAAAAATCGCCCTCGACGGTTCCGTTTCCCAGCTCTACATTAACGTGAGTCCCGGTCATTACCAGCAGAGGCAGTTGGTGTCCTTTTATCAGTGCGATTTGCAACAAGCCGTTGCCGAGGTAAGGGTCGTATCGCTCAGTGAATTTTGCAGCGTTTGATCCGCTATGATCGCAGCAAGAGGTCACGAAGTTAAAATTCGAATACAACAAGTGCTTCGACAACATGCGAGCGGTCAAGGAAAGGGAAATGTACAATATAAAAGAAAAAAACGCGAGGTTGAGACATATCTTGTCGGAGTACAATTACTTTTCAGAAACGAAAGTCCACGTCGATATAGTAGACCCGGAATGGTCCATGGTGAGTAAAAAATGCTGATGTTGGCTTTGAACATTTCATATAAACTCCAGTCAGAGCAGTTGGGCAGTTACGTCATATATATATATATATATATATATATATATATATATATATATATATATATATATATATATATATATATATATATATATATATATATATATATATATATATATATATATATATATATATATATATATATATATATATATATATATATATATATATATATATATATATACGACATCCAGTAATGAACAAGTCAAGCTATAACGTAACTGCGCAATTGCTCTGGATGACTTTACCTTCCACGTCCTTCACATGGATATCTTCCGTTTCTTTGTTTGAAAAAGGGTGAATCAACGATGGAGCTAGAGATAGATTTACTCTTTATTTATATATTTTTATATGAATTGCATTTATCAGTTGATTAAATAATCAGTTGATTTAATGTTTTTTCATTTTTTTATATAGAGATTTTAGTGTTATTATTATTATAAAAAATATATATTAATATTATTAATTAATTAAATATGCAAGTCATTTTAGAAAATGATAATTTCTCTATCCTTACTTCAAAGCAAACACGTCTTTTTTCCGATTCTTTGGTCCTTAGCGATTTTTTGTTCTCCAAGATTTGACACACTGTATCTCTAAAACTAAACAAATAAGGCCACATTTTCATATGAAAAAAGAAACTTATTTTTGGACATTAAAATCTTCGTACCGAATTCTGAAACTCCCTGTAGAACAGATTACAGCAGCTGCTTTATGAACCCAACTATATTCATATTAACCGAGGTAACGAAAATACACATCTTTAACTAACCACAGAAATTACAGACTCCTGACCAATGTTGCGCAGCTCATCTACAGATGGCATCACAGGTCAAGTGCGATGTTTTCCTACTAAAATTTGTTTAGTTATCGCTGTTTAGTCCTAATTTCCGGAAAACTAACTAAATACACCATATAGATTCCTTTTATATTGCCAATCAGTAAAGACTTTACTTAGAAGCGCCACTTAAAATACATTTGAAATGAAATAACCACGAAATTTTGAATAAGATTCACTCATAAACGTATGGAGGTGGACTTGATGCCTTTTGGGTTCAGAGATGAGTACGATCACGTCAAGTGGACCCCCCCCCATTTATCACGTGATCATAAAAAAATAATTTTTTATGGAAATTTGATCCCTCGCTTTGGACACCCCAGCATAACTGATGAAAGCGTTGAAGAAGTGAAGCAAATATTAGAGAAGTGGCTGAAGAGGTCGACCTCTCTGTTGGCTCTTGTCATGAAGTTTTTTCCGAAGTTTGGGCATCAAACGTATAGCAACGAAATTTATTCCGAAACTGCTTAATTTCGAACAAAAGGGCAGTCGAAAGAGCAACGCACAAGAGCTGACGATGTCAATGATGCTCCAAAATCATGCCTCAGCCACCATATTCATCAGATATGCCCCCCTGCAACTGCAACTGGCTAAACGAGAAAGTGCTTCGAGAATTGGCATAAGTGTATTATTTCTGGATATCTGAGGGGATACATAAATAAATATTTTTTGATAAAACTTAAAAGTCAACTTACTTTTTGAACACGCGTCGTACATGGGGACTGTAAAGAGTTTCTTGTAGTTATATTTTCACAGGCTGATTAACTAACGAAACCATTACCGTCACCCAAATACCTGAAATTTAGAACTAAGTTCGGTTTAAAGTAATTATTTATCGGTCTGATCAGGATTTCCTGGATTCGCTTAATCCAAGCAACAAAAATTGGAGCAAATTTGTTATTATTCCCCAAGCTGCACAAGGAAGGTATTAGATTATAAAATAGACTGTAACTAATTTTATTTCCTTCAGATTGGTGTGCAAATTTTATATTTTTTATATAAATTTTTCCCGGTGGAAGATGCTCCTCCCCCGAAGCCCCTCGCTCGTAATTTCCAAAAACACGCCCGTCTGCCGGGGATCGAACCCGGGACCCGTCCTTGTTGACCGTCGACTTGAACGGCGAGCTAGCGAGCATATTGTAACTGAAGCGTAATTACATGTTATGCTTGCAGTTTTAAGTGTAATTTCGATTCGTCGAGTTTATCCCGACAAGATAAACAAACAAACCCTTGATGTTGATTTCCCAAACGGCCCGTAACGTCATCGCGTCGCCTGTGTCCTTCACCGCCGCAAATTGTTTAAGCGGAACCACCAGATAAGATGAGTAACCCGCACGTGTTTGCTTTGTCGCCGCCTACGCCGAATTTATAGTCAGGTTTCGTTTGTCGCCGGAAGTTGTTCAAACAAAACCTTCGTTTTAATTAACCAGGCATACTTGCTTGTTTGCTTGCTTCCTGATTGGAAAATAACACATTGCCTGAGACATATATTGCAAAGACTCTGAAGCTTTCAACAAGTTAAATTTATGAGACACGAGTTTTTCTATTTCCTCGTGGCCCGCCAAGCACCTTTAACTCCCCCTCCCACTCTGTATAAGCTGAGACACATCTGTCAAATTGATTTGAGTAGTGGATCATCTCCTTAGACTATGGTTAAATTTCAGTAGCGCCACAACACAATTTTATATATGGGGCAGTCAAAATATGACAAAAAAAAACACATAACCTCAATTTCTGCCTAAACTATACAAAATTTGAATAGGAATTTCTTAAGAAAGTTGCCTTTATTTTAACGAAGGATTCCAAAAATGTCGAAATATATGGGGCGTACTATTTAAGATTGTATCGAACTTTCTTTCGTATCTCGATAGAAAAAATTTGAGGTAGCTTCGCACCGTAATATCTTATTTATTTATTTATTTATCTAGCACTTGGCTATTTACATAAGCAAGTAAAATTTGCATAAACAAAACTATAAACTTCGCATATACTCCGTAAGTCTCTTCTTGAACACTCTTGGGCAAGGCGCGCCCTTAATATTATCCGGCAGTTCATTAAAATTACAAACGCCATCGTAGAATGGAGTTTTCTGTAAATTTGTTGTTTTTACCATAGAAACATTGAAGTGCTGATTGGAACGTATATTATATCGATAAAATTTGACCTTTTTTACAACCATAATTTAAGATAGCCTGGTTGGTGATCGTGCGCAATTCCATAAACCAACATTAAACTTGTTCTTCTAATGAACTGCCCGACATTTAGCCAATTTAGCTGGTCTAACATACTCTTTATAGGAGTATATCTATCACAGTTGATGATTCTCATAACCCTATTTTGTTGTAACTGTAACTTATTTAAATCTTCTTTTGTACAAGATATAAGCACTGATCAAACATATGAAAAATTAGGCAAAATTATACTATTATACACTAACATCCTAGTCCACTGCGATAAAAAGCGCGATACACGGTTAAAAAACCCTATTTTCTTACCACTTTTTTTGCATGGATATTCAACATCTGTTATCCCTATGACAGAAACATTATTATTAATTTTAGTCTGGTGAGATCTATCAGTTCTTTATCCATTCTAGTGCAGAGTCTTCAATGCCATATAAACATAATTTTGTAATAAGAATGTCCCTGTCAATAGTCTCAAATGCACGTTTAAAATCTACAAAAACCCTCAGAGTTAGTTTAGATTCATTCATGTCTTTCCGCCACACTGCACATATATATTGCAACGCAGATTCGCACGAGTGTTTGCTCCTGAAACCAGACTGTCCACTGTAGAGTAGGCAGTTTCGCTCCAGGTAGTCTCTCAACTGCCCACACACTATCGTTTCCAGGATTTTATCCACTACTGGCGGCAAGTTAATTGGTCGAAAATCACCGGGTGTTTTTGGTTTTAACACTTAAAGACGCATTCACCAAATATAAGAACGGATAACCTATTACACAAAATAAATCCTTGACGAGCTTAATATTTAGAATAGAATCACTTGTACTTCTATTTTTTAGGTTATTTACAGTTTTTTCAAGCTCCGATTTCGTTATTTTTTTAAAGCAAGACAAGCTACAGCTGACCATGTCACACACAGAGTGCGATTGCTTCTTTTCTATACTCTCTGCTATTTCATTTAAGCTATCGGCATAAAAGTTATTCATGTTTTCTTCTTCTTTGTCACTGTAATGTCCAAAATCAATATTGGTAAAATCTGCTTTTTTATTTTTATTTAAGTCCTTTTAATGTCTGACACATTTTCTTTCCATTTCCCTTGCAATCATCAATTTTTTGGTTATAGTATCTTTGTTTATCATTTCTGATAACTGAAATAACGTTATTTCTTTTTCTTTTATATTCTTCCCAGCCCTTTTCACATTTGGTGTATTTAAACTTTTTGTAAGCAATGTCCCTAACATGTTGCGCCTGTCATATCGCACATGAAAACCACGGATATTTTCTTGGTTGGGTCTTGCGGAGCGGAGATATTCTATCAAGCGCTCCCTGTACAAGTCCTATAAAATCTACATATATTTTGTTAACATCCGTGGATGTATAATTCAAATTTGGACCAATAAGTGCTTCCCGTATTTGATTAATATTTTGGGAACTCAGATTTCTGATTTTTCAGATATAAGGTTAGCGAAGATGTCTTCTAGAGTTGTTTTTTTTTTCTTTTGGAGGCAAATGTAATTGCGGATATTCCTTTGTAGACTGAAAATCCAACGACAGTGCTCTCGGTGGCAGAAAATGAAATTTCCATACGGCCTTATATTTCCCCGAGCGAGCAGGCAATACTGGACGCAAAACGACTAGAAGAAGAAAGAGTCAGACGACTGCTGATGGCTGACGATTTTCGGGAAAGAGCGTTGATGGCCATGATGAATGGCGTTTTGGAGGTCAGGTGGGAAGATGAATTAAAAAAGGATGTACCCAAACCAAATTGCATGGTACGTTATATATAGTTATATATAGTTTATACTAGCGAGATTAACAAATACAGTTTCGTTTAAACTTCATCAGAACTTCAATCAAAAGTTGTGACGTCGTGTTAAGTTTATACAAACTTAAATCATTCAATTGGGCCGTCACATATTCATTTAAGGTTTTAGACTCGTAAAGCCGTTTCAGGATTTTTTTGGTTTAGCAATTTGACTTTCAAAAATATCATATTTAGCTGAAAATAAATTGATTTTTCTGTTGGTGGATGATGCAAAGGATTACAAAGGATCATCATTTTGCACATTTAATTCAGATGCTTTTTCATTCAAAATTCCGATGACACCTTTACGTATGCGCGTTCCTCCCCTTGACAGACTAAATTTTCCAGATTCATTTTTCTTTCAGGACACAAAACACTGTAAACTTCTAACCAACAAAACTATAAAATTAGTTTTAAGAGTGTTATTATCTTGCGTTCTTTGTTTATGAAACATTTTGCTTATAGAGTTTATCAATTGTGGTTACTTCTAAAAAACGTCGACCTATGGTTTGGAGGTTTGGAAAAATCAATATTTGACAGTTTCATGCCATCTAACTTAGTTATTTGTTATTGTTATTTTAACAAACAAAAATGGTCTCGTCGCTTACACCATGACAAAAAAAATAATGGAGAAAATAGAAATAGCAAATAACGAAAATTTGCAAAGATTTTAATGAAAATATGAGATGTTAATTAATTTAATTATAACTTAAAAAATTAAAATTAAGAAATCTACATGAAACTATGCAAGTTGTTTATTTAACCTATTTTTCAATCGTTCTTAGGTAGAAGAGTTAGCGAACTTTATTAGGACCACCTTGTAAGTTGTCACAGTAGTGAAGTCCCGCGTGTCAACCTAAATTTACAATAACGGACCCAACAACAACGATCCTTTTCTTAATACTTTCTGATTTGTGCAGCGATTTTTTTGGTAACACTTAAGGCGTCATTTTGTTACCTGTAGACTGATATATTACACTTGTGTGGTTGGCAGGTGTTTAGTATCTCGATGAAAATGCCTGGTTGCTTCGTCGGTACATAAGCGGCACTCTAGATATTTCTTCAGTTTTAAAATTCGAACTTTTGGTGACAACGAAAGGTTGAGATTAGATCAGAAGTGGCATAAATTTATTGAGAGTGTCCGTACTAAAAATTACAAACGTGACTATTCATTGTATGACATTTTGAGGTTTTTCTTTGACGAGAGGGCTTGTTAAGGAAGATATGGTTCATTGAGGTGGCCACCAAATAGTCCAGATATCTATCAACTTGAATTTTTTTATGGAACTGTATAAAAATTTCTTAAAATAAAACCCAACATTCGAGTGGCCTCTAAAAAATGACTTACAATATAACAAAACACCTAGCAACTTAAAGCAATCCTCAGAGCTCCTATTAGGCAGTGGCAAAATTCAAATTTCAAATGGAACCTACATTATAAAGAATAAATAAATTGGAGCCTTGGGTGTTTTTAAATTACATGGATTTGCATCCATTACTCCGGATATACTATGATCTACCCTTTAAATAACGATCGTATTGATCCAAATATTCAATAAAAGACACTTGTCCGATATCTTCAAATCGACTAGTAGATTCCTTGTCTACGTTTACTACGTTGTCTTCATAATCTGAATCAATTTCATCTATAATTGATTGTTTCATTTCACTCGGTGAATCGAAATTACTAATAGGAGTCGAATTAAATGATAACTGTCTAGGCAATATTTTTCGTTTCTTTTGAATTACTGATAATGGTAAAGTTTGTTCTTCTGCTGTGGCGGCGGGCTCCTCCACTTTTACGGGAGGATGATACTTTGGAGTAGTTTGTGTTACATCACTTACTAGAGTCGTCGTCGTCGTTGCTGGCGTTGTTGTTGCTGAATTTTGCAAAGAAGACTCGATATTTTTCAATCGTTTTGTAATAGGCTTAAACATTGTCTCTTGCATCATTTCACCATGTTTTAATTGTTCAAGTTTTTTTCTTATATCCTTACGTTTAGAAATTAATCGTTTTTTTTTAAACGTTATCATTTTGTTGACTGATCATAGTGCTCGATATCACAGTCTATAGCAAGTTACGTTCTGAATGTAGAACCACTAGTGAATAACCTTTATAGTAACAACTCTCTCTGATCAGGTGTAAACAACTTTTGATCGGGGACCTAAGCAGCTCCTGAACAGGTTTAAAACAGCTCTTGATCAGGCCGCCGCGATAGGACGATTAGAAATGTATGAAGCAATCAAATGTTTTCCTATATCGACCTCCTTGGTTAATATCGCAGTCTTTAAATATAGTTAGAAAACTAAACGCTTCGTTCCAGCATAAAGCACGCATTTCTTTAAAACGTTCAAAAGTCATATCGGTACCGATATGATCGTTGTAAATGTAAAATATCGAATACCTTTTATTGATTTCAGTAGTTGATCGAGGTAAATATATTTTGGTTGGTTCAAAGATCGCGAATAAATGTATACGTTTTCAAATTTTACACCGTCCTCCTGTTCGATTAAATTAATCATCACGTTAGTTTTACCGCAATTCGAAGGACCCACGATAATACATCTTATTGTTGCGGGAAACAATTTACCATGCCTCTTGTAAGATTTTTTTTTGTACTTTGTTTAATAAGTTGCATAATGTGATTGTAAACGAACACACACGATTGTCAGCATGAAATGTTACGCATCAGGTAACTGTTTATTAAATACGGTAATCAACAAATTGCCTTTTGAAATGCATATTCCGGGGTATAATTGGTGCGGCCCCGGTACAAAAGCTGAAAAACGTTTCGCTATAAACGATTCCGGCATAAACGAGTTTGGACGATGCATGCAAACAACACGATATCGCCTATTCAACGGAAAGTGATTTAAACAAATGTATCGAGGCAGATAAAGTATTAGCTTCCAAGGCTTTAGCCAGATTTAAAGCTAAAAATTCCGGGTGGAAGGAGAAAATTGCCGCTTTAGGAGTAACGGCGGCAATGAAAACAAAATTAAAACTCGGTATGGGCATTCAAAATACAGACCGCGGCGGTGGTGGTTACTATTACCGTTCCAGGAGATTAATTCAAACTTGTTTAAAAAAACTACAAAAAACTAAAAAAAGTTTATACGAAATTGTGGATTCTTTACCCAAGATGAAAAATCAGAAAGAGAAAAAGAATATTTGCAGCCAAAAGAAGAAAAAGAAGACACAGCAGCGAAAAGAAAACAGCAAATCGAAACAACGGACATATGAAGATAAGAAAGATTTTGATATCGCAGACGATTAGATAGAATTCGACGTAAAAGCACTCTAAATGATGATGAAGATAATGAAATTTCAAAAAAGAAACCTCGTATCGAATTAGTTCATAATCGGAAAAGAAAAGCTGCCACGATTGATAGAAATGAAATAAAAAGGACAAAAAGATTAAACGAAGAAGATAATGAGAAAAACATAGAAATTGATGATTCTATCGAAAATACCGAATATTGATAATAGAAAATGAAAATTAAGTCTCGACAATGACGACGACGGCGACGACGACGACGACAATTGCGTATACACACCACCTAAAAAACTTGAAAATATAAATAGTGAATAAACATGGAAAACACTTTCAGTACTAATTAGAAGTTGTAATTGGTACAATGGTCAGAAGAAAAAACACTAATGCAAGAAAACGTAAAACAAGTGCGATACAACGACGACGACGGCGACGGCGACGAGAGAAAAAAATTGGCTTTACAAATTCTACTGAACAAATTAAAAAACACGTTATTAAACAAAAACCTAGTACTTTTCGTGATGCAATTCGTGTCGCATTAAAGGCGGCTCAGAGTTTAAAAAATAAAATGAAAGCTAATCGTATCGTACCGATACCAAAAACGGGTTGTGTTTTACCGCTCATTCCGATATTTGCTGGACTTTCGGCGCTCGGTGCTCTTTCCGGTGGAGCTGCGGGTATCGCGAAAGCTATAAACGATGCGAAATCGGCAACGAAACAATTGCAAGAATCGCAACGTCACAACAAAACCATGGAAGCGATCGCAATAGGTAAAGGCATATACTTAAAACCGTATAAAACAGGAATGGGACTTTTTCTTAAGCCGTATAACCGTTAACAAATAAATAGTAAGCTTAGTACCGGCGTCGCAATTGCAGTACAAATTAATAAAATGAATAAGAAGCAAATATCTAACGATTATCCGTTAACGAATATTCAGTTGGAAAAGTATGCTAAAAAGTTGTTGAACATACCCTGGTTTAGGGGTGTTTTTATGAGAGATAATCTGCCCAGAAAAATAAGAAAAAATGAACGAGGTATAATCAACTTGGACAGTAGAAGCGGAACCGGAACCCACTGGACATGTTACAAAAAACAGGGACCTAGTATCATCTATTTTGACACTTATGGAAATCTACCTCCGCCACTGGAAGCATTGGCATATTTCAAATCGAATGGACCGTGCAATATACGACACAATTACGATGTTTATCAAAAATTTAATATCGTGAATTGTGGTCAGCTATGTTTACGTTTTCTTTCCGAATAAATTATTTATTATTAGCAAACTGTCATTCATTAATCCGATAACCTTTGCACAGATCGGTCGGTACATTATCTGGTAAACACTCAATACTTTCGTCTAAAATATATCCTCCCATCGTTTTGGACGATTCAAAAAGTTATGCGGTCGGATTGATCGACTTTGTTACTTTCAATACAATTCTCAATGTAGACAATTCCAACAATAAATTTTATATCGGGAGTCAAGTTATTGTCGTACGGTGTTTAGCAAATTTATATCGAATGTCAATACTTTGTAAATATTTTCAATAAATCATAAATTTTATCGGTGCACATTTATTTAATTATATTGACCTCGACGACCTTTTATAGTCGTCGTCGTCGGCTAGGCAGCGCGCATAAACGACCCGATAATGTGTCGGCCCGGTTAGGCTAGGGGAAAAGCGCGTCGGCGGCGTTTATCGGAAGGTTCGAGGTTCGAATCCCGCCCGAGACATCGGTCGCTTTTTTCGGCTCTCAAAAATTTCTCACCTCGCACCCCCACCCCGTAGTGCCGAAAAGGCACTACGAAATTTATTTTTTTTTACGAACCCCTTTTTTACCGGGAGTGAATTTGCCAAAAAGGCACTAACCCCTTGCGGGGGGTGGAATTGCCAAAAAGGCACTAGCGACGGGCACTATGACATCGTTTTTTTTTTAATCAGTGACACCACTTTTTCCCCTAGGGGAGGTGCCAAAAAGGCACTATGACGTCACACCTCGACACAGGTGTAATTAGCGACACCTTGATTAGGTACCCCAGGGGTCCCCATACACCTGTCACACAGGTGTACACCTTAATGGTGACAATTTCCACTTCTTCGGCGTGACCTTTACTTCTTTTACATGACCCCTTACGAAGAACTAGCTTTGGTACACTGCTGATGGAACATGAATCGTCACAGTCCCGCGTTAGAATAACTACTCTCGAGATATTTGAAAAAATATAATTTTAAATTGCAATTACCAGTAAAAATTTTCATATTTACTGAAGTTTGGCGTAACTTTGAAGTTCGACGAGATATGAAGGACACTTTATATATTCACAATCAAATTACATCGATTTTGCGAAAGTTCCATAGTGGTCCGCAGTTTGCATCTTCTCGGTTCTTTATGTGTTGTGTATTTCGCGTGTTTCCTTGTGACTAATAATCATCGTAGTTCGTAGCTAGTAGCATTTTCAGGATTCTAGCTGCTCATAGTTCGTTTGTAACTTTTAGATTGAGAAGTCACCAGAAGACTATAACGAGGACGATTTGCGAGCGGTTAGGGACTACGAAATAAAAGTCGTGCAGTTAAATGTCGATCGTGAAAAGTACAAGTCGTTGCTCGAGACGGAATTTTCGAAACTGAGCACCGGCTTGAGAGACAGTATAAGAAAGTTCAATCGCAAACTGTACGAATGCACCAAGTTCAAGTTTTACATCGACTCGGGCATGAACCAAGAAAACCTGCAAGTGAATAGGGCCAGAGTCAATCAAAATCTTCGAATTGAAATCGACGAAAAAGAACGGAATATAATGTAAGTGATTTCTGAGACATTCTTCAATGCGACCTCTGGTATAAAGAACGTGGTACTTGATAGGGAACTTTTTGTCGTGTTGTTTTCATATGACTCACTTTTGCCCTCAATAATATTGCTTGAGAAAATAGTTCGCTCGGTATTTTTGTTCGCGATTTAATTATGGATTCATCCGAGCCTTCAAAATTAAAGTGCAAGCTTAGAGGAGTATTGAACAAGACGCATTAAAAGAAACTGGTCCATTTATTGTATCCGCGAGAAGGGTATATTGTTTCCAGTGAAATATTTATGTGCTTCATAGAATCCAAATATGTTTGCCTTATTTTTATTTTCTTCATTTAAAACATTATGATTCCGGCATACCTTTTCAGCATTGAATACGTCACCATTTTCTGCAAATTTCGTTGCCTCTGTGCTCTGGATAAAGTCTGATCTACTGACGATGGGCTACGGTTGCACTTTTATTAGTCAGAAAGTATATTTGAAGCATATCACTCCTTACATTACAACCCTACATTACATTTTTTTGTTTACCTTGACATCTCTAAAAACAAAAAAAGTAAAGAAAAAGATAAATTGAACACACGGTACATGTGAACATCTAGGTGCAACGATATTATGTTTATCTGGTTTTGAAGACAAACGATCAAGCAATACGAGAACGCCGTTGACGAGAACCTCAAGATTATCGCTTTCATGCAAGAAGCCTTGGCGGAATGCAAAACGAATCTGGAAAATATGCAGATTAGAGAGAAGGCGTTAGAAAAGGCCTACAGGAAAGATTTCCAGGCCATGTCACCGGTAGTGCAGGAACAGGCGATAAAATATTACAGGTAAGTGGTAATTGAACCTTCTTGAATGACGTCATTTTTTGGGTTATTTTTGTTTAATCTATATATGTCGTTAAGAAAAGTCAATAACGGTTTTGTTTATGTGTCTTTCGTCAAAATTGATATTGATTTGTTGCGACTTTGTAAGCTGTAAGATATAATCAGCAATCACTAAAAATAGAATCCTTCAGCAAATTGATGATGTGGTTCTCATTACGGCCCTTTAGAGGAGGTTGATTGGATCGTTAAAAGAAAATAAACATTGACTTCACATAAAGGGTCATCGGACAAAATATGAAATCTCTCGGCCACAAACAAAATACTAAGAATGTATTTATATCGTTGTCAGCTGTTGAAATAATATGGTTGGAATGTAAGAGGAAATACGTCGGTTATTTACAAACCAAAATTGCTGACGAGAATCTGAAACTGAACCTTCCCATCTTGCTATCGGTTTTCTATTATCGTCAGTCATCGCGAATATATTTATGGAAACCTTTGAGAAGAAAGCCCTCGACACCTATCATCTTAAACCGAAATTATGGAAACGCTACGTGGATGACACTTTTATTATTTGGCCTTTTAGCCATTTCAACTTTATACACCCGAACGTATGTTTTACCACTGAATTGGAAACTTATAACAATCTCCCATTCCTTCTGTTTGCAGGAAATCTATGCACGCATACCGATACCTTAATTCATCGTCACATCGTCATCGGACCCATAAATCATCGACTATCGTCAACGGAAACCAGAATTAGAACACCTTAAATCTGATATTTCTAATAATTTCCACATTAAAGGTATTAAATCTTCCGTCAGAAAATACTCTTCACGACAACCTTCCTTGCATTCAAAACATCACTGACCGCATATCAAAAGAAATAATGGGTGTTTTTTTTTTCGATGTATAGAACTTTTAGTTGGCATTACTGTTCAAGATGGCGACCGATTTAACAGCTGTCAAGTGATTTATTCTCAGTTTGGTTTGGCAATTCATCATGAACAGACTCACGCCTGAACAACGCTTGCAAATAGTGGAATTTTATTTCGAAAATAATGGTTCTGTGCGCAATGCGTATCACGCACTGCATCCATTTTTTCGTCGACAAAATCGTCCATCAGAGCAGTTAATTCGATTAACCATGGAACGGTTTCGCACCACGTTTACTATTATTGATAACTCGCATCCCCAGAGATGCCGTACGGTGTGCGTACAGAAGAAGCTATTGCTGCTGTAGAGCGTAGCATTGAGGAAGACCCGAATGAGTCCATCCGCCGTCGAGCACAGCACTTTATGGAAGATTTTGCTGAAGAATCTTGGTTTACGTGCAAGAATTGAAGCCAAACGATCATCAAGTAAGGCGTAGATTCGTCGAATGGGCCCAAAACGAGATTACCGTTGGCTACGTCAACAAACAAAAAGCTAATCCTCAAGTGTATGTCGCAACACCGTTACATCCAGAAAAACTGACTGTTTGGTGCGCTTTATGGGCTGGTGGAATCATTGGTCCGTACTTCTCCAAAAACGATGATGGCTAGAATGTTACAGTGAATGGTGATCGGTATAGAGCTATGATTACGAACTCTTTCATTCCTGAATTGAATAACCATGATGTCCAGGAGATGTGGTTTCAACAAGGCGGCGCAACATGTCACACAGCTCGTGCCACAATCGATTTATTGAAAGAAGAGAAAATCTTGTGATTTAACACCGCTAGACTACTTTCCGTGGGGCTATGTAAAGTCATTGGTCTATGCGGATAAGCCACAAACGCTTGGCCATTTGGAAGACAACATTCGCCGTGTTATTGCCGATATACTGCCACAAATGTTGGAAAAAATCATCGAAAATTGGACGTCCAGATTGGACTACATCCGCGGATCTTTCGGATAAATAAAATTCATATCGATCGAATAATCCATCGTTGTTTTATTGCAACTTAAAGTTCTATACATCGAAAAAAAACACCCCTTATAAAGTCAAAACCAGATTTAACAATTGTTGAAAAATCAGAACATCAAAGACAAAATTGCGTTTGAGATACCAGGAGTATAAAGCATTTCATGAATATGCTAAAGATATCGGTGGAAAAATAATAAGCTTGCTTTCGGAAAATCGTCGGTGAGCGGGGCAAGTTCGTCGCAAATAGCGCGAATCAGCGTTTTGTTTTAAAAAGAAGGCGCTTCGCGGAATTTTGTAGGGACCCAATGCTTTTCTATCGTGCTCCTACGGACCACTATGGATCTTTCGCAAAATCAATGTAATTTGATTGTGAATACACTTCAAAGTTACGGCACACTTCGGTAAATATTAAAATTTGTACTGGTAATTGCAATTTAAAATTATATTTTTTCAAATATCTCGCGTCCCCTATATTATAGACGAAGCCTTAAACTTTCTCGATACAGTTTACTATACTGTTAATATCAAATTATCACATCTTTAACAGTTTTTGGTAATTCACCCACAAAAGCGGAAATTTCTAGGATCTGTTAGAATTTTTTCCCCGCAAACGACGTACCCTGTATATAATTCCAACAATGTTCGAAATGGAGTAAATGGTTTTCAAAAAACTACTTGTTTTCTGAAACCATGCAATACTATGTAATATTAATTAATATATTAATTATTATATTAATTAATATATTATCGGAAACGCCCGGAACCACCTTCAAATTCCAATTATAATTACGAATTAGTGAAGATGGCTTCCGGCTAAAACGAAACACTAAATCATTGCATCGTCTTCGGTGTACCTTAAACCCCCGGAACCACCACTGAATTATAATTATCACAAATTAGTGCTCTGAAAATGGCTTCCTGCTAAAACGAAACGTCTGACACAACTTTAAATCATTACATCGTGTTCAGCGTACCTCAAACCCGCCGGAACCACCTTCAAATTCCAAATATTACGAATTAGTGCTCTGAAGATGGCTTCCTGCTAAAACGCAACGTCGGACACAATTTTAGATCACTGCCACGTCTTCAGCGCATCTCAAAACCCCCGGAATTTTCTTAAAAATCTTAAAATATTTTACGTTTCGATACCGTCGTAATGACAACGGTTATTCCAACGAAAATCTATAATATAACGAGTCTTCGACGACATGCAGAGTTTACTATTTATAGTCAAACGCATAGACCAATAGGAATAAAGCTTAAGAAAATGGCATGTATAATCGCTGAACCAATCAAAATAAAGGATACAAATAATTCTCATAGCCTACTCCTGAATTAGAAACATTATTCTCGGAATATTTACATTTCTAGGGTTTTTTTAAAATACTTACGTTGCTCCAAGAGGGTTGAAATTTTTTTTCAAGATGGAGGTCAATAAGGTCTATTCGCAGATACTATAAAATCCGCCCAACATCCCCCTTTTTTAGTTAATATTTTCGATTTATTGTTTTGATGTTCGTCATAATTTTCCATAAAAATTTAGATTTTTAATTTTCTAAAATACTTACGTTGCTCCGAGAAGGTTGAAATTTTTATCGAAGATGGAGGTCAATGAGGTCTATTCACAGACACCATAAAGTTCCCCCAGTCCATTCCATTTAAATATTATTAATTATTTTTTAAAAATTTGCATCCTCACACATAAACTGCTCCCGACGGCAAACGGTGTAACTTGTGGGAATCGTTTTAGTATCATTAAATAGAGGAATGACCAAAGTATTTAACGTATAAATTTCAATTTCTCAAAATTATAAATAAATAAGATATAAAACGTTCAAAATTGATCATTAATTTTTAAGCTGATTTTTCCATTTAAAATGAGATTTTAAGATTATTTCTCAACATATATTGGTCCGAGAGGGTTGAAATTTCTACGGAAGATGCACATCAATGAGGACCATCCGCGGATACTATAATGTCGCCCCCAACCCACCATTTTCGGTTAATATTTGCATTTTATATTTTCATATTTATCATGTTTTTCTTCAAAAATTTTAGGTTTTTAATTTTTTAAAATATATACGTTTCTCCGAGAAGATTCAAATTTTTACCGAAGTTAGAGGTCAATGGAGTCTATTCGCAAATGTCATAAAGTCTGTCTCCCAGCTCCCCCATCATTAGTTAATATTCTCAATTTGTAATTTTCATGGATATCGTGATACTGCTCAAAAATTTCCATTTTCATTTTTTTTAAATACCTACATTGCTACGAAAAGATTGACATTTTTTTTGAAGATGGAGGTGAATGAGCTCTATCTACAAGGATTTTAGCTGTCTCTACGGCCTACACTGTCATGTAAAAAAAAACCGTAGGCCGGACAACAGTGTTTAACTAACAGCCAATTTTCTTTGCGAGAGTAACTCAAGGATCAGTTTTTTGGAAATACCTACACCTGTATATTTTAGAAAAATTATCAAGAATAAAAGTTTATGGGTATCCATATTCAGCATCTTCTCGTTCGTGAATTGTTTCGATCCGATAAGCGGTTTTCGAGATATAGTCATTTTTTGGTTTAAAAGAAAAAGTGGTTTTTGAATTTTAAAAAATACTTCCCAATCACGCATCCCTCTCAATTTCAATAGGTTTCGTTAGGAGCCCGGTCTCTACCCTCGTAGAAAATTTCAAGTTGATAGATTCAAATTTCGCACGGTTGTCGTGTTCCATAGCGAAGCCGAAAAATTGAAACAAAAGTGACAAAAAAGCGGGGTTGTCGTGGTCGGATCGGGCTCATATTTCGTTTTTAGAATATCGTTTTTTCATGATAAGAGGGTCAAAATTACAGCCCTCTAGCTCAAACGGTTGCCGAGTTATCGCGGTTTGAATCCATACAGAGAACGGAAAACAGAGAAACGTACAAAAAAAAATCGTCTTTTGTCGACGCTGTAGGACCTACCGTTACCGAGATCTGGAAAAAGTTGATTGGCGCGTATACTACCGCAAAAAATGAATTTCATTTATTTTTTAACAAGAACATGAAAGGACCCTTAAGACTACGACTAATAAACTCTTCAGAAGTTGCCGAACATAATTATGAAACCGGACGTCGAATCTTATTAGCTAAAATCAAAATTCTTACATATAATCTATTTTTCTACCAGTCAAAAACCCCACAATCTATAGAAATCTATAATCCACCAAACAATCTTAACTGCGACTCAGCAGGTACAGAGAAACCTTGGTTTACGCGCGGGTGAGATCACCGCGTCGCTTGCCTTTTAACCGGATCGCTGCGCGGCAGCGGCAAAATGTTAAAAATGAAATTACCAACGGTCTCGTTTTAAACAAAGCGTTCGAACACGCGATGACTCACCCGACGAGGCGCGTTGAAAGCGGGTGAGATCACCGCGTCGCCGGTGTGCGGAAGCGTTGTTAAAAACGAAATTACCAACGCGATGAGTAACGCGTTTCCTTGGGATTGTTTAAACAAAGCGTTGGGGGACACGGTCGAATAACACAATCAAGCCGCGTTTTGCTATTCGAGACTCGACGGCTGGGTGACATCATCGCTTAGGAATGTGGCAGCGTCGCCTGCTTTTTAAACCGGAACGGTGTGCGGCAGCAGCTGGGTGACATCATCGCTTGATAACGTCGCGGCGAAATGTTTGAACGAAACCTTGGCGGGTGAGATCATCGCGTCGCCTGCCTTCGCCGCAAAAAATGTTTCAAACGAAACCTTCATATCAGTACGATTAATAATGCACACGTGTTTTCCTGCGACACAGGAGATGGTTTAAACGAAACGTTTGATATTCTTACCCCACGCAAAAAAAGAAAAATCAATTTTGCGGACCGGAGACGAAATCCATCCTTTGGACGCGGCGTGTAAGGAACACGATATTGCTTATTCGCAACACCAATCGCTACAAAGCGGATAAAGAGTTGGAAAAGCGTGCCTGGGAGCGAGTAAAAAAGCGAAAGACGCGAAGTTTGGTACAAAAGCAGGGGCGTTCCTTGTCACTGCCACGGTTAAAGCCAAACGCAAGCTCGGTATGGGTCGACCAAGACAGTGGAATCAGCAACAGACACGTCGTCGCTCCGGTTCATTTCGGCAACGGATCGTTAAAAAAGTTCGCAGCGCGTTAAAGAAAAAACACCACGATAATCCGGAAACTTTGCAGCGCGGAGCATCGGAGGCGCTTCGGGCCATTGCCAAATCAGTCATCGATGTGCAAGACGCGCGAAAGAAACTAGAGGAGTATATTCGACACGACCGCGCAATGGAAGAGATCGGGAAAACCGGTTCGGGGTTATTTTTGAAAAGCAGTCCTCACGGCGGATTTGGTCTCTACCTGAAGAAGCAAAAAAAAAACCTATAAAGCTGCCCAGCAGAACCCTATACGATGTCGACTTAGTGGCGGCAGCACGCAAGTTAAAAATACCTTACTGTCTTTATGCGAGACACCTTACCCGAACGAATCAGATCGAAAGAGTGTGATATAGTTAATTTGGACCTCAGTCGTAATGGGTAGCCTACAATAATATGTGGGGAAGAAGGGGGACGGATGTCGACTATTTGGACAGTTTCGGCAACTTAAAACCGCCCGTCGAATTCAAAAGCGATATCAAAAATTTACACATTCGGGTCGTACGAAATTAGTGACATTTAAAGCTACATTAACGAGAATCTACCGGTCGAGAAGAATACAAAGTTAAAAGAAGAGATCTCGATCAAGCCCAACAACAAAACGATAAGAAAATTCTGGAACCTCGCAACGTGCACTGTTCCGATTTATCTGTGGACATAATAAAAGTGAGAACCATACATATAGGTAGCAACATAACGTCCGGCGCGTTTTACATCGACAGACCTTCACATACAATTTACGAGATTGCTTTGTCCGTGGATCGCCGGGGTACGCGATCGACGAAACCCCGAAATACCTAACATACTTGCCGGTGAACAAGCGAGAAATCTACGCTACACACGCTACACTTCCTAGATCAAACTTTCGAACCAGTCAATTTCCGAGCCGAGGAAATCATCGTCAGATTGGAGCTGAAAAAACTACCGTAAAGTTGATTTTTAACCAGGTCGTCGAATATAAAGGCCCAAACAAACCACAAACTTTCGGTAGTCAGTCACGAGATCGAGGGGTACCTGCAAAGGACGCCTTACACCGACGAACACGCAATTTCTTCGTTCGCTAGGCTACTATGTTATCCAATCAACATACATACACGGAAAACGAAAATTTGTCGAGTCAATTCAAAGCGTGGAAAGTCGCACCTATCATCCGTGAAATATTTTCTTAATAATGACACGATCGAGATAATGATCAATCAAGGAGACGCGTGGCTGCTTATCCACGACGCCGCCATTTGTGTTAAAAGAACGCTAGAAAGGCTCACGGTATAGCCAGTACGCTCCGCGGTTATCTATGTTACGACGAGAAGGCTTCGAAGCACTTAGAAGTTGCCGACTGGAATTTCCCACAACGAGCTATTCTGGACAAGGACGGTTCTTTCAGCATGCGGATCTCATTGTGTCATTGTGTCAGCCGTACGGCGAGGAGGGGGCACCCGGGGCAGCAGGGGGGCGAAGCATTCGGGTCCCCTATCACCGGGTGCTCCCTCCTCTCCCGGGGGGCCCCCCATACACGCAGCCGAGATGCCACAATTGAGGTTATGTCTACTGCAACTCCTTTTGTTTCTCTACTTTCGCGGTTCAATAGCACAACAAAACGGACATGAAATCTTGAGATTATGGTCTGTTCATAAATATAAGAAAGTAAATGGGATTATCCAAGGGTGGTCATTAAATGTACGATGCAACAAGATTATTACCTAAAGTTTCGTAATTTAAATTCAGGTAAAATGGTGGTTCGTAATAGAAAATAATTTTATACTTACCTGTGTTTAATATTGTTTGCTTTGGTATACTACTCAGTTTAAGTTTATTAGTAATCATACTTATTTCGTGTGTAATACAACGTAGTACAACGAGTAATAAAAAAAGAAAATGTTTATTGAGAACAATTAGTGGCGGAATTGATCATTGAATTAAGTGACGACATTAGCGACAGTGACGATTTTTTAAGTGACTGATACTTTATTATTATACCTATTATTAGATCGTAATAAATTTTTACTTTCACGTTATTTTTCTATGTACATGTTTCGCTATTGCTTGACGATACAGATAACATCTTTATATCCAGCTTGTTTAATGTAGGTAGATAAATTCCTAGGACGGTCCTGGAATGGTTACGGGTCCGGGTCTGTTCGGCAGGGTGCGGAGATTCGGTTTTGGAGTAATAAACAATAGGCAAATTAAATCACCGGGTTGTAAAAACACTACTTCCGGTCGTAGTATAACTGGCGTAAAAACTTTTGGTTTTTTTGAACTTATAAAATCCTTTTGGTGGTGCTTTTCTCAAGCCATTGTCGGCAAGTTACAGCTCATTGGTCAATGTTGTAGGAAAAGACCGAAAGCGAATTTACGAATCATCACGACCGCCACTCTCATGTACGAATTGGCAAAGGGGATAATATCCAACGAAAGAACGGTAGCTATGACCCAGGAGTGTATTGATTACATGAACGCACTGGAACAAATAGACTCGTTTTCTCCTCTCCTACCGGCAATAGACGAGCACACGTGGGCCTTGATATGCAAACACCGTCGCCAGCGCATAGAATTTGAAGTTAAGGTACTCGCGTAAAAAACTCACGTCTTTTCTGACTGTCTCGAATGGAGAATCGGCAAAAAAAGTATAAGAGGCCATTCTTGTAGAGCGTTGCATTTCCTATTGCCAATAAAATTGGCCTATTGATCTATTGGTGATAAGATATGATTACTTATATATGAGATTAAATAAAAAATGCAAAAATGTAATGACGATAATCTTCCCATTAATATTAAGCGCTCATATGTGTGTAAGTACTAGCTAGAAGTAACCAACTAGGTTTTGTATGTCAGATCCAAAAAAAAACTATTTTTTTTACCCTTAGCTTTAGGTGGTCAACACTCTCCCATATTTCGGGTTGAGTAACAATATGTAATATAATGTAACCTAACCTATTCTAGTAAGTAGGTCTAGCGGGTTGACAAAGTGAGCTCCAAAGAAATTAGAATAACCATAGAAGTTGATTCTAGCTAGCGACGACTAGACATCAAACATGTATTTCTCGATTCCCTCGGTCCACTGTTAAATACGTCACACACGTCCGAAACACAATTACGATTGGAACATACTGTATCTATAGAAGAATTTTTAATAGGTTTATTCTTGCCCGAACAGAGTGAAAGGTGTCTTTGGTGCGCGAATTGAGCCGTGGTACATGAATATCTAAATGCTTTAGTAGATTCGGATCTATAATGTTGTGTCGCACATGCGCCTACCTTCCCTGGCTATTCATATTAAATTTTTCCAATTAAAATTCGTATTTTGTGTCTCTCGGTGGATACGCACCTTCTGTTTTGGTTAGATACTTCAAAAACTTTTTCTGTACACCATCGACCGGCCAACTATGACAAGAGTAAATCTGATTCCACACAACCGAGGCGTATTCAAACTTAGATCGAACATTGCTAAAATACAGGGCCTTCAAAGCAGCACTGTCGGTAAAAGAATTGCAGTCGCGTACTATAAAACCATAATTACGGTTAGCCTCAAATGATGATCGAAATACACGCCCAGATCTTTAGTATGTGTAACACGTGGGAGAACAATATTTGAGATTCTATATTGAAAATCGATAGCTTCTTCCTTAAGAGTGAAGCTTAAAACTTTACATTTATGTACTTTAAGACTCAATTCATTTGAGATACACCAGTCAAAGAGTATACCTACTGATCTCGTAACACAATCAGCAAATAACAGGTTCTGCGTATCATTGAGATTTGAAACAACGTCATTAATAAAAATAAGAAATAGTAATGGTCCTAAGTTAAAACCCTGTGGCACCCCTGATGTTGTGAAATATCTATCAGATGTATACCCATTGTAGGATATGTATTGTGTCCTGTCACTTAAGTAGTTTCTGAGAAACATTACCGCACCATCGGCAAATCCAAAACGCTTAAGTTTCTCTGTGCTTTGCAGGTCTTGTTCTTGTTCTTTTGAAATGCGTGCTTTCAGGTTCGGGCCGCTCAAATTCAAAGCACAGACGGCGAGGCGACGATTGCGACTTTTCACAAGCGCGTTGTAACCCAAAGGGAGAAAATTGCGAAGCTGAACGAAGACCTGGAGCAGACTCGAGCTGATCGACTTCACCTGATGCACAATAAGCAAGTTCAGGTGGTTCTTCGCAGGGGTTTGGTAGAAATTCCCCTTACGGGCGATATTTTTACCGACTTTAGCGACGCCATCTTGGTTCCGCGGAAAGAAATCGAGGAAGTCAATAACCTTATCGTGGTGAGTGCCAGCACTTACGTATTTGTCATAATTAGTTAGCGGAAAAATGCAAAAATCCCAATATATGCTGAATTGATTTACGGTTGTTTCCATTACCTCCAGCTCTTTTTCTGCCATTGTTTCTTTTCCAGCATCTCTAGCAGCATTTCTTTGGTAAATTCCTTAACATAACCATAATTTTCTGAACGTCCTGTCAAAGTATTTACCATTTAAATTAATTAAAATATGCGACACAATTCTTATGTTCATTTCGCAATCTTTAGAATGCTGGAGAACTGAAGTTAAAAACCATAACCCAGAACATGAGCTTCAGAAGAAGAGTAATGCAAGCGGAATGGGAACATATGAAGCTAAGGATGGAAATAAATGACCACATAGAACAAAAAAAGGACGTAGAAAATGTTAAGGTGGGTAAAGGTTCCAAAATTCGAGTTTTTCAGTAATTTTACAATATTCCTTATTAAAATTTTCTAGTATCTTAAGATTAGTTTCTTCTCCAGTCTCCAGAAATTGCAAACCTTGAATTTCGAAAATATATCTCACTTGTACTTGAATTTAGTATCAGTTTAAATAAGAGAAAGTAAGGAAAAGTGTAGTAAAAAACTTTCTGCATTTCTAATTATTTTTATATTTTAATTGAATTTTACAGTTCACCAAGGAGATGCAGACCTATTTAAAAAATAAAAGCTTAGGGAGGAAAACGGAAACTGAGTCGTACGAGATGGAAATAGAATTGATCACGGCCACATACGAGAACAAAATCAAAGACCGAAGGGACAAGTATATCAAGATGAAAAAGCAAATTAAGGCCTATAAAGAGAGCACCGAACGACTGGACAAGACCATCGGGGACGTTAACATGGACGTCTGCTTATTCAAGATTGAAAAGGATAACGAGCTTGAGGCCAGGGAAAAAGAAATATTCGACGCGAGGTAAGTCGAGATCAGAAACTGCCACAGGCCACTGTGATACTATTTACAAATATTCTGGATTCCTTCTGCGTCGGTTTTGGATAAATCAAAGTTAATCCAGGAGGAATCTACAAATCCAGAGAAGATTGGTAAATACAGTTATTACATATTTTTCAAAGAAACTTCCACAGTTGAACTTGATGAAAATCCATTTAACGAAATAAATAAGTGCTAAAAGTTCAGATTTTCACGAAATTGTCGTCAAAAATGTGCTTTTCTGTATTTAAGTGTGTAGCATAATTAGAATCTAGGCTATTGTTTTTAAACGCTCTTTTATGTTCGTTAATACGTTTCTTGAAGGATCTACCTGTTTGTCCAATATAAATTTTAGGACAAGATCCACATTTCAACCTGTAGACACCTGAAACGTTGTGTAAGTTAAAAATAAAGACGACGGAAGTTGGACATCCTTTTAGTATTTCTACTGAATCAGTGTCTACCACCTTCGATGTATTATTTATTTAAAATACTGTAAAAATTATAGATTTTATTTTTAAAGCAGTAGTAACTTTGAACGAAACTTTTCAAAAATGAAATTCCATTTTTCTTTGGCATGATTTATCGCATTTAATTGGTTGGTTTGTTGTTGCAATACGAAAACTGCTATGGGCTTATTTTTTTATACTATCTCGTCCAGTGAGTTTAAATCCGGGCTCCTTGCCAGCTACAATATGATGACATTTTGCCCAATCGATTGTCTAAAATTCACTGATGATAAGGAGCACCATCTTGTTGCCAATTTAAGTTTTTATTTCGGAAATGATATAAATGGTAATAAATCTAAATATCGCACTACTGCCAAACTTGCTAAATGCTAAGAAAAAAAAATTATTCACACTAAATCTGCAAAAAAATAAAACTAAAAGGAGAACGGAAATAAATAGGACACAGTAAATTAAATAATGATAATGGGTATCAAGTAGATGCTATGTATACTGACTTCTCCAAGGCCTCCGACAGGGTTGACCACGGCATTCTGGTAAGGAATCTCTCAGGGATGGGAATCTTTGGAGACCTTCTAAATTGCTTTCGCAGTAATATCACTAACCGGAAGCAATCAGTTAAAGTTAAAAATTACATTTCGTTAGAGACTGTTGCGACGTCGGGTGTACCACGAGGGGGACATCTTTCCACATGCCTTTTTAATGTCTTCATTAATGACCTAAAAAATATTTTTCGCTTTTGCCAATTTCTTGCATTTGTGGATGATCTAAAGCTTTTTAAGGTTATAGCATCACCTCTTGACTGTCATCGATTACAGGAGGATCTTCATAGGTTTCCTTTGTGGTAAAGACAGAACGATTTAACTCTTAATACAAACAAGTGCAAAATTGTAAGCTTCGGCAGATCCAAAAATCCAGTAACTTTCACACTTTCATTTGAAATCTCGATCGCTCGGGAGACAGAACCCAGTTAAAGATCTTGGAGTACATATCACATTGATTTTACGACTAACAGAGCTATTCGATTACTTGGGCTTATTTTTCGGATTTCGAAGGGTTTTGAGAACATCTTTACGTATAGGGAGCTGTGCGTTCAATTTTAGAGTATGCTAGCTGCGTCTGGCAACCATACTATGCAATTCACGAGGAAAGAATAGAGCGTGTGCAGCGTAAGTTCCTTAGAGGGATAGGTTTTAATTTGGGAATGTCATTTGAGGATATAAACTACGAGGAGATTATGAAGCTTTTGAATCTGACATCTTTGGAGAGTAGGCGCTACATTATACAAAATCCTTAATAACTTTATTGATTCACCAGATCTTCTGGCATCTGTTGGTTTTCATATTCCTCTTTAACATTGATTTTCATAGGACCAACTATTGCATTCACTCGCCTATGAATCGAATGTGCTCGCTGACAAATATTTTACTCACAACTAACGAGCATATTGATTTATTTTCTGACTCTCTCGGTAGTTTTAATCGCAAAGTAAAGAGGTCTGTTTTTAATCAAAACTCTCTGCTATTGTAATGATAATGTAAATACTAAATGCGTAAATAAAATTTTTGATTTTAATTTTTTTTTATTGTTAAGGATTTAAATATTGCAGTTTTAGTTAATTTAGCCCTAGATTTCCCGATGAGCTAAAGAATACGATAGTCCATCCATTTGATAAATGTGTAACTAAAACGCATGTATCAAGTTATAGACCAATATCGCTTATAAACTTCTCCTCGAACACCTTGTAAAACGTAGAATACATACAGGGCGACAAGTTCCAGTATAGATTTCTGAAGCGCAGTAATTCCCTCAGGGTTACAGTAGACCTCTTAGGCCATTTCATTTAGGGTTATTGTTGTGTTTGGCAAACTACGAAAGACGTTAAATGTGGTCATGAGATCTCCTTCAATAAATTGAAGTAAATAGACCGTATTTGTGTAACAAAAAAAAAAACGTCACGGCTATGCATTCAAAAAGTGAAACAAATAAGTGTGGAGTGCCTCAGGGATCTGTACTAGGGCTACTGCTTTTTGAGTAGAATATGGTCAACAGCCAACAACATCAAAACAAACGCAATTTTTTTTTCCAGGATGAAAGGCATGTTAAAGAGAAGCGCCCTGGTGAAAAGGATTCAGCAAAATCATAACGAAATTCTGGTTTTGCAGACGGAACTGGAACTCCTCAGGCTGCGCACCTTTCCCACGTTCAAATATAAAGTGATTAGGGAGTAGCGTTGGGCTTTAGCAACTTATATAGTATCACTGTGTCTTTTGGTTTAATTTTTGTTTTGTCATTATTATTTTTCAAGTTAATAAAAAGACATTTTATTTGGTAATTTTGTTTCAGTTCCACGGTTCCATGGTTTTCCAATAAGTATTTCAGGAATTTCGAGTCATCCTCCTCAACTGTTGAGGTGCTCGAATATAAACGGCGTTAACCTCATATTAGTTATTAGTTAGCTGAATATTTTGAAGGGGATTTTTTTAATTTGGGGCTCGTCTTCCCTAAGATGCTTCTAATGTTCAAAACGAGTTTGTCAACTAACCAAAATCAATCAAAATTATAAACTACCAACTTTTGTATTGCAACAAGTGAAATGCACTGAAATTTAAAATACGTTCTGAAATATTTCAGGAATTTCGAGTCATCCTCCTCAACTGTTGAGGTGCTCGAATATAAAAGGCCTTAACCTCATATTAGTTATTAGTCAGCTGAATATTTTGAAGGGCATTTTTTTTAATTTGGAGCTCGAGTTAAAAAATAAAATATTATCAAAAAAAATATTTTGAATGATTCTAAAATATTTTCAAAGCGCTGGTGCAAATTTTAATTGTCAAATTTATTATCAAAACAGTTTTTAGGCCTTTTAGTTGCCATAGCAATAATGATATAGGGTATTTCAAGTTAACTCGAGTGGCTTTGATCTTAAAAACTATTTATACAAGCGATAGGTGTTACGGTATGCCGTATTTTCAAAAAATAGCAGTAGAAATCTTTTTAAATAAAATTCCAATTAGAAATCTTGAACATCCTTTCCATTTTAAAAACATTTATTAAAACTAAAATAACTTGAGATGAAATCCATGGTTTAGTAGATTTGAAGAATTTAAAATTTATTAATTTGTTTCATTTATTCATTATTTAATTAAGCGACTAATAAAAGGAACTGTAGTTAGTTATCATTATTTTGAATCCCTATCAATTTTAATCTGACGAAACAATAGGTTGATCTGTCCATGTATTTTTTTTATTGTTCTTCAATATTTATTTGAATGAATTACTAACAATTTAGATCAAATAAAAATTTAGATGAAAAAAATGAAGGGATACTAGGAAAAACTAGCAGCCAATTTGCAAATTTAAGATGTGGAATTCAATCAATTAACTTTCTTTGTACATTATAACATTGATCTACATACAAGACTACTTAATACATATTTTACCTAAATTACTACTTAGCAATAGATTACAATTTTATAAGTACTATAAGTTTAAAATTAATAATTATTCGACAAAAATAAAAATTCAAATAAATGATTATTTATTTTTTATTTGGTTTTTATTTTTTTAATTTTATTTACCCGTGTGGTCCAAATAATATATATTCCTGTTTTCCCTTCAAAATTATCGTCATCACTAGCAAATAATTTCACCTTCCTCCAGTAAAAGCTATTTTCTGTTTTGAGTTTTTTAACGTAAAGTAACGAAAATTCGTATCCTTCAAGATCATCCTTTTTCTATTCTAATTTTATTTTGTCCAAGGTAGGTATTGTTTTTTTAAGTAGAACGAGATTATTATTTCTTTAAAAACTTGCCCGTCTACCTACCACTCTCGGAGTCCTTAACAGTTATCGCAGCACAGAAAGTACAAAAATACTAAGTCGTCTTTTCGAATGACAAATTGCAAACGAGTGATAATGGATCGAATTGGTACGGTACTTTACGTCCACAATAGTTCCGTGGCTAAAGAATTCGCTTCATATAATGAATCCATTAATATGTGGCCAGTTAGTTTATTCGACAAAAACCGCTTGACATTCAAACTAGACAATTTTAAAAATCCCACACCCAAGGCTAATGAATTTTTTATGCTAATTTATTAATATAGGCGTTGGTGTGCAGACAGGACTTTCGAATTTTCATGGCAGTAACGCAGAGTAATTCTATATACTATTGCACAAAACTAAGCACCGCGAAACGAATTACAAAAAGAAAGTAGTAGGGAAAGGAGAGTTCTGGACCCAATACTACTTCAGATTTACCCATATATAGTGAGTATGGTCTGTTCATAGATATAAGAAAGTGACCAATTGCTTTTGAATGGGATTATCCAAGGGTGGTCATTAACATGCAATGCAACAAGATTATTACCTAAAGTTTCGGAATTTAAATTCAGGGAAAATTGTGGTCCGTAATAGAAAATAATTTTATACCTACCTGTGTTTAAGAATTTTTGGTTTGGTATACTACTTAGTTTAAGTTTATTAGTAATCATTCTTATTTCGTGTGTAATACAGCGTGTGTTGAATCGTGTGCGAATTATGCAAAATATGTGCGAGTCTAGTGTATCTCAGGAGATGCTCCCGCCCAAATGTAGAAAACACTATTCTATTGAGACTAAGGAAGTTATAAACAAGGTTTAATTGACTCTCATTGAACGTGGTGAAAGTGATCAAGATATAATATGGCGTAAAATTTACCAGTTATACGAGGAACAAAGCGTGCCTATATTAGATATCTTAATTAGGAGGCTTGAATAAGATGAAACCGATGTTAAATGTGGCAGAACTACCTTATGAAAGTGTATTCAACACATGGGTTTTAGATTTTAAAAAATTGATAAAAGGCAAGTTTTAATGGATTATTTTAGAATTCGGAAATGGCGACTGTAATATCTAGAAAAAATTAGGATTTACAGAGAACAACAAAGGCCAATTATTTACTTGGATGAAACCTGGTTCGACACTTACGATACCCCGGAAAAGGGTTGGGTTGACTCAACTGATAAGTGTAAAACAAACGCGCCATCAAAAAGAGGTAAAAGAATAACTACTTTGCATGCTGGCTCTAAGATGGTTGGATACCAAATGGACTTTCTCTATCTGCGAAAAATATTAAAGATTCTTCTCTGGGTTACCATGAAGATACCATCGCTGATATATTTGAAAGTTGGTTTAAAAACAAATTAGTTCCAAACATTCCTCCTAATAGCGTAATTGTAATGGACAATGCAAGTTATCACAGTAGACAGACAAAACTACATGTATAATAACGACATTTGCTTTCACGAAGATTATATCAAAAAGCAATTAATTGAGGTTCTACAATGCTTGAAACTACAAAAAGAATACGTTTGTTATAATTATGCAAAAAATCTGGGGCATACAGTGCCATTCTCCCACTATCCTCAAACTTATAGAAACCGAAGTTTTTAACATCCTTCCACAAAGTTGGCCAAATTCTGTTAAACATATAGAATAAGCAGAACAATCGTATATCCATATTGCAAATAATATAGAGCAAATAATAATTAGAACAGGTGATGATAGCGATAGTGATACTGATATGTTATGTGAATAATTTTAAGTAATTTTGATATAAATAAGATATGTTATTGTTGTGGTGGTTTATGCTACAGGGTCTTGAAATTTAATAATATTAAAATTAAATTAGATTTACAACACACAAGAGGTTTTTTATGACTCACTTGGGTACTTTTTCATTTTTTACTTTAGTAAAAAAAAGGAAAAGTTTAACAACACTACTATAAGTACTAACTCATCCTTTACGTACCTCGTAACTCGACGTTTCAACACCGACCTGTTGCGGAGAGACGTTGTTATTCTAAGATAGATTCTTCCTTTTTGGCCTCGACGGCCATTTGAAATCGAAAAGGGTTAGCCAATGAAAAAAATTGCTACAGTGTGTGCTGAATCATATCTAATGAGGCTTACTAAGCAAGCGTCTCTGATTTCGATGCATTTGGTGCCGATCTTCCTATTATCATGGGTCTCGAAGATTCCGGTAAAATTCTCTAAACCACTTTTACCCAAACATTTTCGTTTCATTTTTTGTTATAGCTGATTTTGTATCGAAAATCCGATTCGTCTTTCCTAATCTTGCCGTACAATTTGGAGCAAATGTGCCCTAGCTATAAAGTATGAAATTTCCTCCTATAATACCACGTAATTGGTGCCTCATAATTTTCATAAATGTTCTACTCTTTGAAGCTCATTGTTTATTAAAATTTTTCATTGAGGATATGTTCAGATAATTTGATACTCGATTGACAATACCTACATCTAGTACTACTAGCGTTTCTTATGTTCAATTGAACGTTTCTTCCTTGTTTACGAGTATTCCGTGTGGTAAATTTGACACGATAGTCTCCGCCTAACCGGATTTTATAAGAGCAGCAAACACATGAGTTCGTAAATATTATATTGTTTTGTTGGTTAATAAATAGCTGGAGAATTGTTACATATGTTATTTTTATTATAATCAGCTAGTGACGGCTATCCAGGTAATTTCATTGAATTATCTTGAGTATTTAAAACCTTCTGGCGCTTTAATAGGTGACCAGGTTATCTGATCGTCACACCCGTTTCTTGGATTTGGAGAAGAAAACGTTACGATTCCTCGATATTTGTTTTCACAACTGATTAAAATTATAGGCATGAAGGCAAGTTTATTATTGCTAGATTATGAATGAGGAGGCATGAAAATCATTACCTTCTCCACGAAAATATTTCTACCGTAACAGGGCTAAGCGTCTCAGACTGGACCCATTCCCTAGTGAACCAAACAGAAAGAAAACACGTGTCGATTAAAACAAAACCGTTTTTGAAGACATTTCTTGTTTTCTTTTCGGGCAAGTGTCATAAAATAAACTTTTTTTTTTACCGACAATAAATTTTCTAAACCGACTCAGTGTTGTTCCATCGGCAAATTACTAAACTTTTATGAGAAATCTTCAACAATTTTTATTATTTTCTAACAATCTAATATATTTTGTGGTACGTGTGCTCTGATTTTCACGATAAATATTGGCAAAAAGTTTATTTCTTTTATTTTCAAATATTTGTTATATTTGCTCGTATCGTGTCCGAACCTTTTATAGTAATAAGACGAACGTCACCTCTGTGTGTGCTTCGTTTTCTACTACCTTGCATTCTTCATTTTAGAAACCAATTTTTTTTTATTTAAACTTAAGCTATAACATGTAAAAATATCGGGGTCTGTTTGTTTTGTTACCATGGACCCCAATTCCAAGGCAACTTTCCCTATATTAGTATAGAAGGTATTATATTATGCGGTGTGCGGTAAACGGCATTTGACTCACTAGTTTTTAATAAACGAGTGAGTTAAAAGTTTACCGAACGTGTTGCGTACTATACTTTTTCTACGACCGTTAGTTTTTGGGTATATTTTCGCAAAACAACACGAATGCGTTCACTGACATGACCGTCAGAATTGGCAAACGTCAAAATCTAAAGCGTGAGAAATATCTCCGAAAACATCCGATTGCTCCCAGAAATGTCCGAAGTGGCTCGGATCCGTGGGAAACGGAACTGACGTGGTAAAGTGACGCTTCCCGCACGCTAAATCGGTGGGTAATTAGGTATTTTACAGACGGGAGTAGAAAAACAGTGTTTGAGTATTTGAGACACGAACGGAACCCAGCGGCGCGAGTGTTTAATAAACGCGCGACTTAAAAAGTTTAATATAAGTGTTACATACTATACTCTTTACTACTACCGTTAGTTTTTGGGTAAATTTTGACGAAGCAACAACATTCACTGACATGACCGTTTGAATTAGAAGCGGCTCGGATCTGTGGGAACTGAAACTGATGTGAGCTGACATCTGTTGGTTTGATGATATTTCTAACAGATATCGAATAAAAAAGTTACTGTTTGAACCAGAAAGTGGTTTTTTCAGTAGATAACTCCTGAGATGTGGAAATTTGGGTTTAAGAAAGTGTTATTACACTATAATTACGTTTGTTTGTATACAATTTGATTTATTAGCAACTTTTTTGAAGATATTATTTGTTAAATGTTAAGTTTCTACAAAACTCTGTAGGCTACATGGACTATTCAAAATAGTCCCGGCTCACCAACGCTGCTCCTTGTTTCGAGTTATCTCAACGTTCAACTACACTTCTTCGATTCTTCAGATTGCGATAATCCGTCGCCAGCGACCTTAAAAGGAAGGTAGATTAGGATGGTATGGTCAATGCGAAACACTCTTGAGCACTGAACCACCATGTCTATGCTACTTCAGCGGAACCAATACAACAGACGGTGTCTACCGTGTGTCCTTTGGTATCTTAGTATCGATTTAACAACAAGAGGTCAATGGATCTGCAGGAACGACGGAATTTAGTTGCTACGTATACAACGAATTGCGATTTTAACATTTCACAGGCGCTATTTAAACACTGAATATCAGAAAGAAATAACATATTGCTTTCATTTTATTTACGCCGTTGACGTTGCCGGGAAAGATAGCCCGATAAAACCGGTTTTGCGTACTAACGATTCGAATGACTCAACCTCGATTAAACCCGTCGAAACGTATGAATATTTCCATGGCCAACCGCCCGACGAACGACCTTTTTAAATTATTCCGTCGACTAAATAAGGAGAATGTAGAAAACTTTCAAATGTTGTAATCGCGTGCTGGATATTTAGACATTTTTAAACGACAAGTCTGTGTAATCAAGGTGTTTTTAAAGTAGAATACTCGTTTGGGATTTATTAAAATGTAAAATACAAAATATAAAACTATCGAGTTTTTAGACTGACGGAAAAAGAAATGTCTGCAGAGAGTGTTAAATGCCAACTGCCCTATCTTTCCTCTTGGGTCCTTAGCGCGCCCGACGTAACTCGACGCCCACTTGATAAAACCTCCATATCGGTTTTTTTTTCCGAGGTCGATTTCGTCGAGTCTTACGAATATTGTCGATAACATCTGTGGCCGTAATTGGAAACTATTCAACGCCTTATTATATAAGATTTCGGAATAGAATCAAAATTATAGGGGCCCGATTATTTAGTCAAAGAGTACGCTGACATCATCATTTTCTCTCACTTCTGTCTCTCTCAAGCAGCGGTAATTTGCGTTGGTAAGATAAACCAACTATGCGATGATAAAGGTCTGGTTTTAAAGAAGTTAAATACAAATAAAAACGCAAACATGAAATTAATAAGTTTGTTGTTGGAGGCCGTAGCAATTCTGTCGTTAGCAATAAAACCAATTTTTTAAGCTTTAATTTAGTTGCTTAATAAGTAGTAAGTCGTTACAGAACAAAAAAAAAGGATGAATTTTTGGAAGGATGTTTTGTGTGCTATCAGAATCGAAGTCGAAGTATTTAGAGTGGTAAAGCGTATCGTCAAATACATGTATGAGTTCTTCGTGTCTCTTCCCACGTTTGTCAATTTTACTCCTTTCCAGAACAGTAACTTCAGAAAATGTGTGCCTGGCAAAGTGTTTTTGTTTGACATTTCTACTTGCCACCAAATTTTTAACCAATAAGGGAATAAGGGATATCAGGGTTTTCCGTCCAAAGTTTATCTTCTGTTTTTTGCCACCTGCCTTTATTTCAAATGCTTATTTTTTTGAATTACATCACAAAACAACAAACATATTAATGAACAACTTAGTTGAATCCCATGGGCCTAGCAGGGTCCTTAAATAACCGACGCTTATCATGTTATCAAGCAAAAACCCTCTGTCTAATATTTTCTGCCTAATAACTGAAAAAAAAAAACAAAGTAGGTACAACGGTTTGTTAAAAATGTTAAATCTTTGCGTTGAAAAGTAGGTCGTCTCTTCTCCATAATATAAAAATAGTAAACGATTTCCCTTATGGATTTCATTTGTCCTGGGCGTACATATTGTTATATAGTCTACATTCACTTTGCTTACCTTGGTACCAGGCAGAGTTTTTGACCTATAAAAAACCATTTCCATAAACCATAAAAATTCCCTCCTTTTTCATATATTTCCAGAAGTTGTTTATTTATTCATTGTATTTATTTATTACAGCAAGGTACCCTAACATCGCAATTTACAAAGGTACACTAAAACTTATCTTAATTTTAAAAAATAAGCAAAACTATTTCCAAATCTAAAAAAAGAGAAACAAGAAAGAATGTAGGAATAAATTTAATTTAGTCCGAGCTTTATTCCTAAATGATTTGAGCGATAAAGCAGGCGTTCTAGTCATTACCGCCTAGCATTAAAGGATAATTTTTAAAAACAGTTTTGGAGAGTGAACTCTGTGATTAACAATATTGTGCAAAAAATGGCACTATATACTATTGGCGTAAGAGATAATTTGAACATATTATAGCAGTACAGGCTTGCTAAAGTTCATGAGAAAAATAAACTTTTTTGAATGCTTCCAATTTTATTTACATTCATGTGATATTTTGGACTCCATATCACACTGGCATCGTTAACGATTTCTCGTCCTTGACTATGAATTATTAATCGTTTCTTGCCTATTTTTTAGGGGATATAATTTTTCTTTTAGTAAAATCAATGCTCCACACTTAAACACGGAAAAACACATTTTTGACGACAATTTTCATATTTTACATACAGCCAGAAAAATTAGAAAATTAAATTTATTGGAAGCCATGAAGATTAACAAAATGAGACATTCAAATGTATTGCTTAACGTTCAGTTAGATTAAAATACTCCTCCTTTATTGAACTTAAATTCTCACAACATTAATTAAGGTTTTATGGTCATTTTTCGGTATATATAGTAGCAGGTAGTTTGTAAATATTACATTTGATAAAAACACTGTGTTGTCGAGACAATTGTCATGTAAAAATATATAATTTCGTGAAAATCTGAACTTTTAGTTCTTATCCATCAGTCCATCCTTTCTTGACGGTATGGTCACTATCAAACCACTAATTTCTTGGATTTCTCTCAAATATCTTGTCCTTCACTCCGAAATTCTTCTCGATTTCATCAAACCTTGTCTCTTATTGATGGTTCTGTAATAAAAACCAATTCTTGGTAGGACCGGAAAAGTCGCGAGTCAAATGCCGTTTACCGCACTTGTTGCATAATATACTGTCGAGGAATGGGCTAAAATTTGCAGACATGTAAGGAAACAGTAACACTCATACAAATACATGATATTTGACGATACGAATAAAAATACATTCGTATTTTTTATCCTATAAAAAAATACTACATGCTAATCAAATTAGCAAAAGCTTCAAAAAATTTTTTTGGTTTTATCGCTAACAATGAATTTATTTGATGCCTGTGTTTTTTTTTTGTATTTAACTTCTTTAAAACAGACATTTTTTTGTGCCCTAGTATTTTGAGGAATTATTTGTATTCAACACAAACATCGCGTAATAAGTTTATCTTATTAACGTCTAAATGTATTCTCTTACGCCTCACTCGATTGGTAAAGCAAATTACCACTGCTTGAGAGTGACAAGAGAGCCAATCATAGAGTACGATGTCGTCAACGGATTCTTTACTAAATAATAGGACTCGCAATTGATTATGATTTTGCTCGAGATCGGCAAGGAATAGAGTGGGGCGGGCGTGTATGTCATCCTTTATTTTAGTTCCCATCCACACGAACTTGCTGGAACTCGTCAGTCTGCGTCGTCATTGTTGAGCGGTAGGCACGCGTGTGGGGTGAAGTTGTCGCCAGTTTGAACGTTCACTTCGGGTTGTGTGTATGTGTGTTTCGTTCAATCAGTGCAGTGGTTCAATGCAGCTTGGATTTATCTGGATATATGTCCCATAATAGGTGAGACGATAGATAAAAACCCATACAGCTGGATTCAATTATGATTTCACTTTGGATCGTCGGTACTATCGGTCGGCTTTCTTCGCCGCGAGGTCCGACATTAACCGATGCCGTGCAACACAACAACGGCGACCGCCATTGCCTTTTTTTTTTTTATTCCGGAATCGATGCGTATGCGCGGCTTGTTTTTTCACAGCATGTAGTACGGAACTCTTTTTTTTGTCAGGAATTGAAAAACGAGCTTTAACTTAAAATGTGCTTTTGTTTTTAATGCTACAGATCGCGTATTTAGTCCGTAGGGAAATTTTAACTGGTTCCCAAATTTAAGGCATAAAAGACGGAGAGTTTTTTAATAGTTGTGTTTTAACAAAGGAACATCGTGCGTGGCTGACGTTTATAAAGTACAGCAGAAATTCGACTGTGGCAGATAAACGAAAATCAAATCTCATTGGGTTTGTTCAATATTTTAATTTTCGGTCCTGTTGAAAATTGCCCATAACCTTTTTATTTATGAAAATATTGGAATCTGTTAAAAAAATTATTAACGCATTTTTTTAAAGGCAAATGCAGTTACGTACTGAGATTTGTCCTAGTTTTTCGTTTTCTTATTAATGAATACAACTTTCTTCTTTTATGTGGCAATTAGTGTTCGCTATGGTCTTAAGAAAATGGCCACGTCGAGACATAGAGATTTGTTATGTAATTTTTTGTTTATGGTTGTGCAAAAAGACGTCACATTTGATATTTGAATTTTATATAATTTTTCTAATATTGAAGTTAATATAAAATTTGTGATTATTTAGAGAACAATATTATAGTTATTTTTAGATAATCGGTGTACTTTTCTGGTACGATTTGGCTTGGATTTGTGTTTTTTTAAAGCAGTAAAAACTTTTAGTTTTTCGAGGATTTCCTGTTCTATATTAGTAGCACTATTCTATATCACTGCAAACAGTTATTTTGCAATTCGATATCGGAAAAAAATATTACTATAGCTTGGAAGAAAAATTGGGAATGGATTTTCAAAGAATTTTACGAATTTCGCTGATTTAGAAAAATAATTAATAAAATAAATAAAAATATATATTCAAAAATACGGTATTTTAAAACCTCTTTTCAAAAAATGGCATTAGTTGTTTTACTGTCGGTATTAAAATAGAAACAGTAAAAAAATAAATCAAATAGATAAATTAACTAATAAATGAGTAAATAAATTCTCTTTTTTCAAAAATCTGCCTCTTCATTTTTGTCTTCTGTATTAGATTTACTAAACTAACTAACCAAAACTTATTTACCATGGAAGTTAGATAAAGAAATCACATATCATGCAATAAATAATACAGGTTGTCTCACCGGTAACGTCGATCTTATCACAGTTGATGAAATTGTTTCATGACTTCTGTAATGATATTGACGAATTTTGTCTTAGTCGCTAACGGGTTACTACAATAATTAAACATAAGTTTGAAATATTGGAATGGATTATATGTTTCGCCATTCCTTTGCTGCAGTGAATATAGTTCACTAATTATTATAGTTATAGTTCTTAAGATAAAATTATCTTCTAAATGGATGTTAAGCATTAAAGATTATTATTATAATTATTATTATTATCTTATAAGTGACACATTATAGGTCCTCTGTTATTTATTGTGTATACTTCCGACATTCTAAAAGCATAAAATTTCTGTAAAATCTAAGCGTTCGCCGGCGATATTCACTCGATTAAAATTACATGTTTTTTGTATTTGATAACGCCTCGCCGGATATAAAACTGCGGCTTCAGCTTTAAATGCGATAAAAATGGATTTCGTCGTAAAATGTTGCTCTCGCGTCAGAAAATACGGTGGCATTATCACAGAAATTATGATAATACTAAAAATAATGGGGAGATATTGTGGCCATAGAATGTAAAATACACCATTAAATTATTTTATGATTAAAAAAGTTCCTGTTTGCTTATTTTTCATTCCTATAGAATAAATAATAAATTTTTATTTCTTTTAAAAAATTCGAATAATACTACACACTCCAATGCATTGATAACAAGCAAACAGATAACTGGTCAACTATATTCGCGATTTCTTCCCAATCAGAAGTAAACAAAATAAAAATCTGGTCATATATTATGTGGAGTCGAGTTTTCAAATAAATCATCTCTTTGGTTATGTTGTTTGACACCTCCCTAGATTTGCATAATTCGTATTTGTGATGGTTAGTTATCAGCAGGCAAAGTAAAACGAAGGGGTCAGGTTGGTTATTGGTGTAATCACGTTATAAGAGTTTGTGGTTTATCAAATTTTTAATATTCCATGGTCTAATACGAACCAATATTGATTTTCGACATTGATTTTATCTTTGACTTGACAATAACAGGCGCGTCAAGCAGGCTCGGTTGGAAATCTTCAATTTTCTTATGTGGAATTTGTCAATCGGGATGTTTTCGGCAGGTTTTGTGCAGTTTAATTCCACACACCTAGAAAACAATCTACAGTAGTGGGTAGTACATATTGGAGTTGCTCTTAGCTTTGCGATGTTCCCAAATCTAGAAAAAAAAAACAAAAACGAAGGTGAAGGCGATTTTAATGTTCATTTCAATACTGATGATAGAAACTTTATTCTCTTGAACAAGTCACTCACTTCATCTAACTTTAGGCTTAAAATAACCGAAAAAACAAAGAAAAATAATTGTTTTGATAACATATTTACAAATTTCTGCCTTGTCTGATCATAAAGTAACACTATATCAACAGCGAACGAGAGCATCGATGAAACCCATCTGTGGATATACACGGTAATAAATTTGGGGGTGATCTTGGATCCACAGTTACGCTTTAGTAATTGTCGCGTCACCAAAACTACCCGTTTCAGCAACACGTCGATTCGTTGAAATAAAAGGCAGTATTCTTACACACAACCCTTTAATTCAGTAAACTCAGCGAATTAGTAAAAAAAACAAGTAACGTAAAAAAGTATGTACAGTAACAAAGATAGATAATTAGTGATAAGTAATAAATTCAACAAGCAAAGCCTGGAATTCGTAAAAAAGGACCTGTCGGAAAAAATTGGCTTTCGATGATTGCCGAAAAATTAAAACACAACTATTTAACTCAATACATCAAAGGCCACTTAAACCATGCCCTTGTCTTGCGTCATAAATTAATAGACAAGTAAAATCATAAACTTCGACTTTTGAATAGGATTGAGAAAAAGCACCTGCAGCTTAAACTGAAATTCCCCTTATTCTAAAAAATACCACAAAATTGTTCCCTATAAATATTTACTGGCTCTAACAGTAATCATGTTGAATACCTATGCAAAAATATTGGTAAGAAAATAGGGTTTTTTAACCGTGTATCGCGGTCTTTATCGCAGTGGACTAGGATGTTAGCGTATAATAGTATAATTTTGCCTCATTTTTCATATGTTTGTTCATTGCCTATATCTTGTGCAAAAGAAGATTTAAATAAGTTACAGTTACAACAAAATAGGGTTATGAGAATTATCCTGAACTGTGATATACTCCAATAAAGAGTATGTTAGACCAGCTAAATTGGCTAAATGTCGGGCAGTTCATTAGAAGAGCAAGTTTAATGTTGGTTTATGGAATTGCGCACGATCACCAACCAGGCTATCTTAAATTATGGTTGGAAAAAAGGTCAAACTTTTATCAATATAATATACGTTCCAATCAGCACTTCAATGTTGCTATGGTAAAAACAACAAATTTACAGAAAACTCTATTCTACGATGGTGTTTGTAATTTTAATGAACTGCCGGATAATATTAAGGGCGCGCCTTGCCCAAGAGTGTTCAAGAAGAGACTTCCGTTCGCGAAGTTTATAGTTTTGTTTATGCAAATTTTACTTGCTTATGTAAATAGCCAAGTGCTAAATAAATAAAATATAGTTCGTACACTAAATTTCATCCAACGCAGTATGTAGGTGCATTTGCGTTACAATCAGTAACCAGCGTGTACGACAAACCTAAAATCAAAGGTATGAGTAGAAAAAATAACTCTGTATTTAAGCCGTAATCAGTGTCTATAACTTAAAAATTACTCCTATTTCGGGGCCAACCTCTAAAGCACTATCTAATAAAATTTAAAACTCATTATGTCGGAAAAATTGCTGTATTGAAGCTATAAACTCAATCGATTATTTCAAAAAGGAAGCCATAAACTTTTTTTTTCATACTCGTTAGATTTTTTTTCCCAACGTTGTATATGAGAATAATGTGCAATGGATACAGCTTTAAGGCAGCAAACCGTCTATTTTCACTATATATCGCGGGCGTGTTGAAGGTACCAACGATCGTAAAGTTTATGATTTCGAAACGCAAACCCCTTGTCACCCTTGTGGCCCTCGTCGGCATTTTTGCTTCGTCGGCGCCTAGTCACGCCACCTTCACAATAAACACGTGGTGCGGGATGGTTGGTTCGTGTGTATGAATATTTACGAGCCACCCTGGGAGCTACGCAGGTACGTCCAACAGTAATGCCTTTCAAATAAACAATATTAATTGATGAAAATAGTAATAGTTTATATTACAATATTATACATATTTTACATAATAACACTATTTTGTAATATTCGTGCGCCTTCTAATAAAATTTAAGAATCAAACGCAATATGTAGGACAAATAAAGCTATTTTTAAACTATAACTTTCTGCTCGCAATCAGTTCGTACACACAAAAATTTAAAAAAAAAGTTATATGTAAGAAAAATAACCCTTTATTTACACTCTAGTAATTAAATAATAATTAAAAAAAATATTGACCACTATATATATATATATATATATATATATATATATATATATATATATATATATATATATATATATATATATATATATATATATATATATATATATATATATATATATATAAAGATTTAAAAAATCCTTATGTTTATTAAAACTAAAATAGTAACTTCTAATTATACCTCCTAAATATTCCAAATATCTAACATCGGTCCATTTTAGACCAACATTAAA